CACTCTCATGAACACAGTGTGGCCATTTTTTCTTGGCACTACAATGCTTCAAAATAAATTTGAAACTACTTTTGTTAAAGCTTTGCCGAACATTTGATAAATTGAATACTCCAGCAATTATGGAGAATTCAAATACTTGTAGTTGGATTTTCAAAATCAAGTATTTCGAGGTGAAAAGAAAAATGGGACATAGAAAGTAATATTTTGGGTAAGAAAACTCGATTCTAAAGGCCTGTTTGAAGGTGTTATTCAGAAACTTTTGAAACAATCGGTATGCCCAAAAGTAAGACCCCCCCAAAAAATCGATTTCCCTATTGCTTTCCCAAAAAGCTTTCGAAAAATTTTACTTTTCCTGATTTTGAACGACATCATGACACACATGTACATGTAATGTACATTATAACACCATTAGTGTCATGTGACAGCAAGTTCAAATACAGTGCAAGTACTGTACCACAGCCAGAATACAGGCGTTTCACAAAAGCGCGCCTCCAAGAGTTTGCAACACGTTAACCAATCACAATGCACAAAATCTGTCGACCCAATGCATGTTTGGAAAGGGTCAACAGATTTCGCGCATTGTGATTGGCCAACGCGTTGCAATCTCTTTGAGGTGCACCATTGTGAATCTCCCGTATTTTTAATGTTAAGCGACATTTTAAAGAGTCAGAGTAGTCAAATGCAACTTGAATGGACTGTACACGGTGACCTTGACTAGATCTGTTATTCATACTGTACAGTGCACTCTGAACATGAGTGGCAAGCTTACTGTTCACTGATCATTGGCTGTGTTTGTTTCACACTAATCTGGATGATGATCAGTGATCCGTCATTGGTTTACATGATGCCAAAACTCACCTAATGGATGGTGCAAACCAGCGTAAGGATCACTGATCGCGATCCAGATCTGTATGAAACAAACAGACCCAGAGTATATATTGGTACATGTACATGTATACATGTAGCCACCAACATAGGGGTACATGTGCACATGTTCCGTTACAACATGAGCTGTATTAGGGGGAGTAGGTATCTTCACAAGAGGAGTTTAAGATTCAGTCCCTTTTCAATTACGGCACTTGAAAAAGACTCCTCCTTTTTCAGAATATGGAACAAACTTACACACATGTACATGTACATGCATCATACTGAAGTCACAACTCTTTTGTTAAAAGTTATGTATACACATCAAGGTTCGACCTTAACGCTGGTCCGCTAGCCAAATTTGAGTAAAAACCGTGGCGGTCTAGAGAAAGCCCTCGTCTGGGTAGTCCGGCAGTCTAGTATAGTTAATCATGATGCATGCCCTCTAGCTGCTGCTGGTGTTTGAATCAAATAAAACAGGACCTTTTGCAACCAAGACTATCGGTAGTTCGGTGCCTGGCACCAGCCCAGCAGAAGTAATGCTGAAGTCTATGAATGCAGTGGCAGTAAATGGTCTGAAACTTCTGTTCCACAACGCCCATACGGCACGATCACAAACTGTCGGCCCTTTACTGTACTACCACAACCAAATGGCCAGTCTCGACAACGCTGTAACTTGAGGTTAATTCTGCATACAAGATCTAAATCAACACATGCTTTCATGCATTGCATTGTAGAGGTATGTAAGTTCATGAATATGCCTCCCACTCCTATGATGTGCCATGTGTGTACTGGTATGGTGTGTACATGCTTTATGTGTGCTATGAACATATGCAATACTGTTTTTCTGATTGGTCATTGGTAGTTGTTACACCAATGATGTCGCGGTTGTGATTCGCGTTTGGTTTGCGCTCTAGCGCTACACGTACTGGACACAGAAGAGAACGAACATGCACAATACATACATGTACATTGTTTGTACATTTCGCCGAGCAGACATGTGCGTGTACATGTACATGTACATACTGCATAGAATGTACATGTATGTACTGTACTGTACATGTACATAAATTGTGCATAATGATATGGAATTTTTGTTTCTGTCTCTTGGATTGTGAACAAAACAAACCATTTTCTGCATGTAACCAGTTTGTATGTGTGTTTAATTTGCTGGAGTAGAGTTACCGGTATAATCATGAATATTCTGGAAATTCATAAGTCCCATGGCCATTTATTTTATGATTATTCATCAACAATTAAACAACAGTCAGCACCGAGTGCACACTGTTATACATGATGTTGGAGCAGAAAACACTAGTGCCAAAGAAGAATGTTGACATTTGGGGGAGACACGGACTAGTGAAAATGCTAGTGGACTAGTAAAAAGCCATCACTGCTGGTCCGGCTGGCAAGTGAGAAAACAAGTGAAGGGCAAACCCTGCACATGTACAATGTACATGTATCACATATACACGTACCGGTACATGTAGATTCACCAAAAATGTGAAAAAGCCCTATGTTCTGTTTTCAAACATACATGGACGTCTAGTCTTTTTTCTCACGGTACATGTGTATTGGTAAAAGTACACTTCTTTCTAACTCCTGGCTGCCTAGGCACCACAGTACTGGAAAATCATCGCCCTTGGTGGAAACATTTTTTTCTGTCATCATTTCTTGGATTTGGTCAGAATCCATTACAGGTACATCTCCTGATTACATTATGGCTTCAAGGGTGACGCACAGCCAGCAAACCGAGGGAAGAGAATTGTTCCTCTCAACCAATGTGATGGCCTCAAATGAAATTACACAGATTGCTTCTGTTCATGTGTAACATGTATACGCCCAACACACAGGTGTACACGTGTAATTGCAGCCGCCCCCCGCCAATGGTAGAGAATGTTTTCTTCCAAGGCCAGGACTTGTAACAAATTGTAAATTAATCAAATCAAAACCTCTTTTCTTTATATTCCTCTCCAACAGACACGCATGTGCTTATTCATGCGTGAGCGATACTTGCGAGTCTAGATTTGTATTGAACTAAACGGCAGGAAATGCTGAGGTCACCAGAAGCTGAATTTTCGGCGTATGAACAACTTCATCCAAGCTGTGTGTTGGACAAGCAATCTGAAAGCAGCAAACTTTACATTCAACCGCCTGGTGTGAGCATTTTGAGCTTTCGAATGAGGTGTTCAATCTCCAGGCAGAGTGTTAGATGTTGTCATGGTCAAGACACACATCAAATGCTCAGCGCTTAGTGATGGAACAGAATAACTCTGAATGAATGTGGCATTATGTGCATTCAGATTGTCAGCCCAACTCCCAGCTCTGATGAAAGCCTTCATGTACCGCAGTCGGCTGAAAATTCAGCTCCTTATACTGTATGTACTGTATGTACATAGTATTTTCTGGTGAGCACTGTTACTTTTGTCCAGCACATGTACATGTACATGTAACATCCATGCTTTGCAGTTTTGCTTCGTTTTGATTAAATAATTTGTAAAATATGTACAGTACATGCATGTACAGAGGTCATGTACCGGTACATGTAGGTGAATTCCAATTTTTCTAAGGCGTGAAATATCCCCTTTCATGAAATGGTTATTAGAGGCTAACTGTGTGGCTTCACGGTCAAAATTTGACCCATTGTAATGTACTTGTTTGCAGGTCTCTCTGCGGTACCGGTACAAAAGTGTGACATGAGATTGGGAAATGTACTAGGACAATAATAGCAAGCTATTAAATGGCCTTTTTTCCCCTTACTTTTACATTCCCACCCCACTGTTGAGGATTGTGCTCACTAAGATTTTTCCCAGCGAACTTCACGAGACACTGTACGGTACATGTAACGTACATGTACATATACCTGTAAACATGTACATGTATGTGTGCCTAGAATGTCACGTGTGTAACATGGACAGAAAGTTACTTATCGGTACACATGTACATGTACATGTGCATGTAAATATTGGTACACGTACCAAGTTGCAAGTTACATGTATAAATACGTACATGTACATGTCAATATCCCAACATTCTTCCAAAGGCTTTTAACTCAAATGTGGCTCTATGGTGACACGTGACTCATATCGTATTTGCAGAGCGGGTCACATAAATGTACTGTATAGGATCTGATACCAAGATGATGTACAAAACGCTACATGTACATGTACATGTACACACGTACGGTACATGTACATGTACAAATGACTGTGGAGTGATCATGGATGCTGAGGTGCTGACAAAGAAAGTCAGGAAAACATTCAAGTTAAAAAGGGGAAAAAAATCAGTGACCACATTATTCCTACTTCATTTCTTGGTAAAAAAACAAACAAAACGAACACGTCAAGCCAAACGTACCGGTGTAAATGAGTGCTGTACAGCCTAGAATCCATCAAAATAAGGGTCTCACAATAACGAAGCAGTGGATGTTGTAGAATTTGTGTTATTGGGGTTCCAAACTAAAGAAATAAATTCCAGTCATTTTGCTGTTGAATCCTCTTCAAAAACAAAGATGTTTCCAAGTCCGAAACAAGACATTACATCATGTACATGTTCAGATACATAATCTCAGTCCATAGTTTGTGAGTATCTCCCGTACCATGCCCCCAAAATTCACCAACGTGTCCACATAAGTGCTTCTTTGACTTGAAGTTTGAGTCTCTGAGATGAAACAAAGGGGAGCAGCGATGCATCGTTTTCAAATGCACAGAAAATACGCACCGTCCTGACATGCCTGATAATGAAATTATATGTGATGTAGCACACACCGGTACCCTATCATGCAGTATGCACAAATGCTACAGCAACTGTTGGTACTGCATGCCACCCATACAGATACTGTATCAAGTTAGATTTTTTATTTTTCCAACATCTGCGTGAAACTGCCAACAGCTGCTAACTTGATTTCACCCTTCCTGTCTGAGGTTAAACATGAAGGCAGGACGTTAATATTCTGCACACGTACATATTGTATGGTCACAAGGCACACTGCCCGCCAATTCAGAAGTTTTCTTAGTCTGCTCTTAGAAATGCCATGGCTGTCATTTCAAGTCATCAACACTGTAAATCAATGGATCGTTACATGTACATCTCTACTAGCATTTAACAGCGTATTAAGAATAAATGCAAAGCCTTACTTTTTGTTGGAGGTTTCGCCGTTGACACTCTGTGAAGAAGAGCAAGTGCTGCCCATATTTTAGTTACAGTGATAAACGTCTAGTTCCTACATGCTCCTCACAGCCATGAATTGCCTAGTTGGGCATGTGTACGCTGTCCATCCGAAAAACACGGAAATCACACCAGCAGACCTTCTTGACTCAACACCAAACAATTCAGCTATCAAATGCCAGGAGATAGATTTCAGACTTGGCACAAGAGGTGCTCTCACCTCGGTCAAAGCAATTATGTTGTGCCTTTTTTTTCCGGGAAAAAGCACTTCACCGTCCTTCGAGGGTGCCGATGTGCACGTCCACAGTGTGCAATGGAGCGAATGATCTGAAGTTCTCCGAAGCTGCGGCAAAATGATCCATAATTCAGTTGACAACTATGCACGTAAGTAATTTATAATCTATGAGTAAAAGCAGCTGAAAGACCAGTGATGTGTGCAAAGCCAATGGAACAAACACATACCGGTACATGTGCAGTCCTTCCAAATCAAAAAGTCTGTCAACTGTCCTGTCAGATACATCACACACGCAGTCCGCACTCAAAGACTCCTGCAGCATAGAACAATATTCATGTCCCGTGCTCCGTCTTTTTGATTTCGTACATGTACCGGTGGGGAGCTTAAGTAGCAGAATCATCCACTGCTGACTGGCACGCTTGTTTTTTGCCCGTGCGTGTGTACTGATGGCGAAAACTCCCAGACTCATTAAAATTCCTATGCAGTACGGGAAGCAATACAGCTGCAGTCACGGCACGCGTCGATGGGGCAGGGGACGGCTCCGGTGCATGCCTCAGTGGGGCTGGGGTCAGCTTCAGCACGGACTGTAACAGAAACCAGACAAAATCTGTTGTTTAATGCATACTGCCATGGCAATAATGATTTGCCAACATTCCCGGAGCCACGTGCGCCGTCAAGAAATATGGATTTGTGAGAATATTGATAATCAAGGCGCACGTGGCTTCATGCTCTGTAGACACGCACACAAAATCCAATCGATAGAAAGAATGTCATGTGTGTGCATATTTGTACTGGTCATTTCGTTTGTGGGCCTACTGGGAGGATTTGGTGATGCGAAATTACCAGAAAAATCAATGTGACTCGGGATAAAAATCATAGATGATACCTGACTGAATTTTGTCTAAAGATACCGGTATGTAATACAAAACTGCTACAAACTGCTTAATGACCTAAAATAAGAAAGAGAAAAATTCTGCTAGGATCAGAACGTCAGGCCCTCCATATTTTGCGATTTGAATTTTGTCCATTTGATAAATAATCAGTCTGGTTACATGAACACACATTCACGTTCAGCAGAATGAGGGCCACTAGAGAAATGCTAGACAATATGCTCCATGCATATAATGTACCCTCTTCTGGTTTTCTTACGCAATGTTCAGTACCAGGCAAGTTTTGATCAAGGACCATACATATATTTAACCATAGTTTGACTAACTCTGATGGTGGTTAACCGAACGACAGTTGGACTAGTCTAGTGAACTCTTCGCGACTAGCCCATCGAGATTAGTCGCATCGTTGGTTGCCACAAACCCTTTTAAATAGCACAGTGCAGAGAGGACCAGTTATAAGAAAAATGCCGGGGAAAACAATATGTCATTAATAAACAACCAGTGTCACTTTCATCTTTGCTATTTTGCCCTTCCTGCAGCCACTTTTTCCCCCTTCGGCCAAATGACCTGATAACTGGTTGACCAGGGTTGTTGGCACTTCAATTACAGTGCACATGTATGTACATGTACGTCACAAACCAAACACTACATGTAGTTAACTCGTGGTCCTTGATAGAACTTGCCCACAGCTGAAATGCCACCTTCCGTCCTCTTCTCCCCCTCCCCCCCAAAAAAAACCAGGAGAACGGGACATTCCTTAGGCATCACCACTGTGCAACTGGGTAAGGTACATATACACAAACTGATAACCAGTTTTGACAGCTGTTATCCCGAGTGCAGTGATCAAAGAAAACATCATCACTTCCAGACGACCACTCCCTAACTCCAGCAGCAGACGCAGCTGGTCTGTAACTTCTAGTACACTGTAATTTCCTGACTGAGAGGACAGAACACAGACTAAACATCCTCAGTGTTTAAGGACGAACATTTCAAAACCATAACATCCTTACACTGTAACCTTGCATGCGTCTCATAACAAGCCCATCTGAGCTTCTGCATCCAATAGCATTACTCGGTACATGTACACATACATGTATGTACATGTATGTGTACATGTAACTTTGTTGAATGGTGAGACTGGCCATGATACTATACCCGGTACACAGTGTACATGTACATGTACAATGGACGTACAGTGTACAGCGTACATTTACATGTGCAGTGTACATGTATTTCTATTGCACAGTGAAAACAACATGTACATTGTATGATGACCTGCCGGTATCTGTGTACATGTACATGCATTTAGGTCAAACTGAGTAACTTTGAATTCATTTAAAATTCAATAATACATTAATTACTTTTTTACCATTCATACAAATACCGGTACATACATGAAAGAATTTGGAGCCTTTTTCGCTGAATTTGTGAACAATTTTAATTCCTTGAAATGTTACACAAATGATTGCGACTGCTCACGCATTTGTACATGTACATGTAGACCTGTCATGCCTGTATCAAACCTAACGAGGGAGAAACTTTTAGCTTTCTGACTACCACTTAGCCTGCTCATGCACACCGAGCCTTTGATGATGCTCAGCTACATGTACTTTCCTCTTCCTTGATTCAAGTCGACTTAAGTGCCATTCACTGAGCAGGCAAAGTCAACACCAACACAAAGAGCAATTGACAACCGTCCCTTCCTCCTTCCCCAAAAAAGAAAAGTTAGAAAGCACAGCATGCAACTAAGCACAATAGGATGACACTGCTGCCTGCTTCTATGACGTCAATGGTGACAATGGGCGTTGTCGTGGAGACAATAGTATCATCTGTTTGACAGGTACCGGTACACATGTTTTGGAGTACATGTACTTTGTTCAGCAGTACCGGGTACATGTACTTGTGTACCGATAGTGTACAGTGGTGCACATGTACATGTACGTAAGTGTACATGTACATGTGTACAATTCTGGTTAAAGTGTTTTTAATGACGTCAACTGCTTGAAGTTTAATGACCTGTTCTGGAATTTGCACATTTTGCATGATGAAGACTGCACACAAGTTACGGTAGACCATGTTTGTTCAACCACATGAATGGGTACAATGCATAATGTATGAATAGACAGTGTACATGTAAGCATAGCGAGGGCATCATGGTAATTCCAGAAATTAGGGGTCCAAAAGTGTGTCATTTTTACATCTGACCTTTGTTATTCGACATGGAAATATCACCGGAATTGATTTCAAACTGTTACAATTTGTTTGGCAGGTAATTTGCATTAATTCATCACTCTTGAAAATTAGAAAATAAGTTCGGAACTTACAAAATCATATGTCAGATGTGACAGAGACACGAAAAAAAAAAAATGGAGCCCTAATTTCTGGAATTACCCATGTACATGTCCCAGTACATGTACCAAGTGAAATAACAAACACGTACATGTACATGTACCGGTACCTACTATATTCCTTTGTTTTGAGCAGTTAAGAAAACTCGGTGAAAATACTCATTTTTCTTGAACTGGGAACACAATTCTCCGCTGGAATTTGTAAAAGGTTTCCTTGACCGTTCCTCTTCCTTTGACAACAGATAACCCTAACTCCAAAATGCCTCTAAACTTCTTTTTCAGCGAAGATGACATGTCCTGTCGACAGGGGTATGTCCACAGAATGTTTTCCCTTCCTGCATGTCCTGCATCACGTGGATACTGGTGTCTTGCGTTAGCAAGTCTACATCAAAGATTATATAGCGCTGCGTAGCGCCGCTAAGATGGGTAATTCGGCCACTAAGGTGTTATCACCATGGGCGCCATTCGAGTCTGAGCGTTAATGTGTGTGCGTGCCTGTCGCAGCGCTTGCGCCTGCGCATTAACATGCACTCCCATGTGATAACAACGTTTTACGCGTATTCGCGGTGACGTTCTCCATCTTGCGCCGCTATGCGGTGCTATACGATCTTTGGTCTACACTAGGTACCGGTACATGTACATATACACATTGTACACCTGGTCAATGTGCAGCACTAGTTCAGAACATACATTGTATAATACATGTACATGTACAAACTACACATGAACATGTACATGTACAGTATGCAATTCACCTGCAGTTGGGTGTGTGGGCCAGTACAAAAATCATTTCCACTCTACCGGTATCTGTTTTATAGATAAAAAAAAAGACACGAAAATTTGCATTCCACCGAACCATCATTCCTGTTTTTCTGTTTATTTTCTATTACATGAATATACATGTACAATCAACACATGTCCAAATACTGGTAAGTGTAACGAGATTAGAGCTAGTATAACATTATAATGTAATTTTCGGTCGTTTCTCATTTGATTTTACACTACAGAGTTGTACGGTATGTAATCAAGTCATCACATAAACCAATTACCATGATTACAGATCATCATGTCTCAGTCCATAACACATTGTGAATGTTACCGGTATAAGCTAATTTAACTGTGACAAAGGTACGAGTACCGTACATGTACATGCTATGGCGTTATGTACATGAACCGGGTACCATAGGGGCGTACAGGCACCCGTATACTTGTCTTTGGGTCAAAAGAACTACAAAGTTGTTGAAATGTACATGTACAACTGTACCCGTACTAGTAAATATACAGTACCTGTACGTGTGCTTGTTATGGCAAAAATCTTGATCCCCACAATATACGATTCTGAATCTCCTAACACAGTTCTTTTTTTGCCCTTTGAAGCAGGGAAGGCCTACCCATGCACAATCCTCTTGAATCCTTTTGTAGAATGTTCCCTCTGAACTGCATAGACAAATTCCACAGAGCTGCTGGGAACTTGAAATGTTTATTGAGGCAGAGGAGAACAAAATTCTCGTCCAGGTCTTTTGCAAAAAAAAATGTGGAGGTCGACTTCAATTTTCATAAATTTCTCAATATGGCCGATGGATTTTCTGGATCCTTTTGCCTACTTGTTTAAATTAAGGAAAACTGTGCAACACATGTAGAAAGGAAGCAAGTGGGAAAAGAAACCCGTTTCTGAGAAAAAAAAACACATCAGCCAAAATACCGGTACCATTGCTTAAAGTAAAAACTGGTCCGACTAATGATTTCAGGCTATTTTAAACAGAGTACCATTGATTTCTTGTAACTGCTTTTTGAATAGGCTGAAAGAGGCTTTGTTCTTTAGATAGTACCGGTAGTTTTTCAGGGATGACAGGTGAATGTTCTTGTCTCTCTGCTGAGGAGCCTTCATCCCATATTACTTCATGTACATGTACATGTATGTGTTTATGTACAGGTCAGTGAACTTGCCCCAAACACATTTTGTATTCAGTTACAGTGAATCATCTCAAATGTGCAATGTACAGTACATATGAGTAAGTCAATTACATATGTACATGTACAAACCTGTATTATCGGTTACTTTTCAAAGTCGAGCCATGGTCACAAATGAACAGTCAAACGGTCTATGGATGCACATGTACAAAAAATGAACTCCTTAAAACTGCTCTTTCCATTTATCTCAACTTCCAAGTTTCATCTTGTCATTTACACGGTACTGTAATTTGGAGAACTCTGAGGGGTTTTGTGTGTACATGTACACTAATTAATGCAACTTTGCATTTTCGAGAGAAATAGTGTGAGCTCATCCCAGAAAGAAACCTCAATATTGTGGGACTTTCAGCACCAAAATTGCCAGAATTTGGGATTTTGTGCTGTCTTAAACCTATGTTTTTTGTCTTTGTTTCAGTTCATGAGAGTGGGCCAGTAAACAAAATTTTAATAGAGACTAAACTTTGGGTTCAAAATTTGAGTAGAAGTCCCTCTATAATGAAAAGTGTCTTCCACGAATGACATGAAAGCAACAGTGCTCCGTGTGGTAGTAACCAGCAGTATTCCATGCCATCTTAAGTGAGCAAGTCGCCCATTGGTCAGCACGTAAGGCTGGTCACAGGAACAGCAGGGTTCAAATCCCGATCCAGGACTTAAAAAAGCCCAATCTTTCACTGTTCCAAATCAAACCCTATATGAAATTGTAAATTACATGTAGTTTACTTTTGAGATTTGTGGCTTTGGAGAATTTGTCATGGGGAATAAAGTCTGAAAGTACACTAGTTCTGAAGTCCACCTTGTGAATACGAATTCACAATGACAATACAAGCATAGAACCAGAGGAAACTCTTTTGTCAGGATTTTACAAAATTGAGACCATTTCCACCCAGTCTTGACTTATCATACATGTAACATTCACAAGGATTTTTTTTTTGGGGGGGGAGGGAGGAAATGCACGATAGCATGGGTACTTGTACAACCAAAAAAGGGTCTAAAGTTTCTTTCATCTTTGTCAGGTATGGTACGAGTACAGGTTAAAAGGTTGGAAAATAGAGCGTTCCATGTTATGGACCTGGTATCGACAAGGCACAATGTACACGTAAAACATACAGCCCCATGTACCGATAGTTCTAGGGGTACACCATTTCCAAGTTCGTAAGCACCACTAAGTTTAGAAGGGGGTGCCCATCTTACCAACCTTATCGCCATCATTCTAATTAATGGCTCTGAGGATTTTTTAAGGGGGAAATAAAGTCTGAATTAAATGTCAACGAGAGAATTTAATAAATCTGAGGCAATTTCCTCAAAACATTCAAAACTAACAGCAAACTTCCGTCTCACGACGGGTTAATTGATGTCAATCTCTTACGTACATGTATGACTAATAACTGCGATTCACATAGCATGTAATCACTGGTTGTGCAAAATTCAAAAAATTGCGCATGCAATTTTTAAATTTGTGCACTTTCACAGATTGCATTGAACAGTGCCGGTAGGCTACATGTACTTCACTACCGGTACTAGGCCAGACCCGTAAACAGGGCCATTATCAGATATTCACTGGATTTTTTTAGCTGCAATTGCACCCGTATGTTCATTAATTACGGCGCTAACTACATGATCATGTATCCCCCCCAGGCTGCTTTGCAGAAAATTTGCCTTTTCCTCGTTTCAAGGAAAACGTTGCCTTCAGTTGGCATTTTTCCCACTTCCGATGAAGTTTAGGCCGACTTGCACATGACACAGACTCCTTCGTATGGTTAAGTGACAGTAATAGCCTGTAAGGAGAGCCTGCCTACTTTGCATCCAGACTTCTGCACATACGAACTCCGTTCAGATCCATGAGAGTACCTGTCAATCCAAGTATTTGTGGACACACTGACGGCTGTTTTGTGTTGCAGCTAATGCGCAATACCGCCCTTACATGTAGCTCATTCCCGGTCCAGTCAAGTACTGCTTACGGCAAATTGTTAAATATGTAGCTTGGCTTGCTCTCTGTGACGTGACATGAAACAGCCGCCAGTTTTGTGCAAGTTGGGCCAAAATTTGTCCAGAGTCTGAAAGTGGGAAAATGCCAATTGAAGGCAACATTTTCCCTCAAAACGAGGGAAAGGCACGTTTTCTGTAAATAGGAGCCTGAGGACAGATAGCCCCGTAAGCAGTGAACATAATGTACCAGTACAGGTGCATTTTCAGCTCATAATGTCCCCAGACATGCCGCATAAACTAGATCGGGGTAAATCACTATCAATTGGTTTGGGGCCACATTGACGAAGGAGTAGAGGCCCCCTACATATCACGGGATGTCCAGATTTCGAGGGGCCCTGTTTTCGCGTCCTTAACTTCTGCATTATGCTGTACGATGTAAACAACTTCGAGTGAAGTAAAATACCTTCAGACTTGCTGAAGATCTTCTCTTCTCCCTATTGAATAACATACATGTAAGCCATTTTTCCAGTTCAAGTATGATTATTACTTTGCAAAGTAAATTACGGTTAATGAAATAATCTCCACAGTAAGCACTAGAACATGTTTTTTGTTTCAGTTTTAGAAATAAATGAAAGTGTGATCAATTTAAAACATTCAGTTTAACACAACATCCAATTTATTAATTTCATGTTTAATGAAATATAAACATAGGGAAGTTGGAAAAAACATAAAACACAAGGAAACTTTAAAGTTGAAAACAATGAAACACCTGCAATAGTTTTATCTTTAGTTCTAATTTGAATGTAAAATCATTTCAATATTTTGAGGTAAAAAAAGAGATTGATTGAGGAAAAGAAGACTTTCAACAATAAAAGATAAGATGAAGTCGCACAAGATGTGTCCCATGGCAACAAACATTTACTTCATGCTTGGCTTCACTTGGGCACCATACCTCTGTACAACCCTCGAAAATAGGTCACAGTCAGCGACGGAAGGCACGTTCGTGAGAGCATCAGAGATCACTCCATTGTGCTAAAGCTGTGAAGGTCATCCAGTTTTGATCGTTGTTTTCACATTGCATGTACATAGGGAAGGTGATTGGGACATTAGTTAATGTCTTCCATTTGTTCGTTTGTTTTTCAAATTAACCCCTTGACGATGGGAATTTCTTTCTGAAAGCCGACTCCAAGAATGCCAGCCTCGCTTGGCCACGAAAGCCACCTGCCAAACCGCAAATTCTCGGTTTGTGGCCCTGCGTGCTCTGCACGCTTTGAATTACACAATGAAAAGGCTGATTGTTCGGTGGCATGCGGCTCTACTCACGCTTCCACATTCCCGTTGCCTCTTTTCAAAGTGGCGACTATTGTGAAGCTGGAGATTATGATGCAAATTCGGTCTTTTCATTTCTGGGCTACACACAAAGGCCAATTACCATATATACATGAGCCAGGGTCTGCCTTCTTTCACCGTGTTCGCTCGAGCGTGGGCCGAGAATAATAGCTAAAAAGCGGGCTGAGGATCTCAATTTTTACAGCGTTTCTAGCCCCGTCCCGGTGCGAAGGGGTTAAAGGGAAGGCCTTTTCCCCTCCAAAACTGGTCTCTGGTGGATACACGTACTACAGGGCCCTGTTTACAGGTCTATACTTTGACTAGTACTAGTAGTAGGCTCTACATGTTCCACATGTACCAACCATGCCAGAGGAAAGTTACATGAACATGTAGCCGAGCCGTTTTAGTATTTTAATTTATATAAGCCAGGTAAGCCACGTGTAGGCCTACCCCGAGAACTGTGGTGTCCGACGTCCGCCCCACTCCCACGAGTGGAGCGGACGTCGGGGACCGGACCCCACATGCACAGTTGGCGGCGCGTGCCTAATTGAGATAGCTGTTGTAGTTGTGGTTATAGGCCCTATTCTTCATGTTCTTAGAAAATGTATTTTCACTCACCCTGATCACACAGCTTCTAAGACTCGCCCGCAGATAAACAGTCGATGAAGATGAACCTTGAATGACAGCTTGCAGAACTAATTTGATCGGTTGATGACAAATAGCTGATGAGCCAAATCGAATCGTGACGAGAAACGTGTTTTTGTGCGAAATTTGTGCTGTGCAGGCTGCGATGTATATGCATGATCGATGACATGATGTGCCGTGAACGCGTCACAGCGCCACCAAGTGTCACGATATTGTAGAATGAGGAAACAAGATGGCGGATTCTGTGGAAGTAGAAAACAAGGTTGGCGAGCGCGAGGCGGACAGAACTGCCACAATTTTGCAAGACACTGCAAAGGATTACGCCGAGTATGTCCTGGTCGATCCCCAGAGGGAGGTTAGTTTCTTAGCAATTTAGGGGCAATTGATCCGTGTCTGCTACTCTGCTCTTTGGTTAGCCCAGGCAGTGCCATCGATATGGTCGACGTCGTTACGATAGTACATGTACATGTATGTACGTCATGTACGTGCATGACGTGTAGGCCTAGCTGCCTGGGCGATTTTGGGTCAACTCGTAGTCGTACATACGTTTGTGTGTATTCAGGCTGGGACCTGGGTATGAACTGACTGGGGTTTCAATTTTGGAGGACAACTTGACCCGGGTACATGTATTTGAGTTGACCAGTTTCCCTGCAAGCTAAACAGCAGACTTGTATTCAAGTCACAAAACATCAAGTCTGGGTCCATGTCCAAGTCACATCTCTCAAGTCTGAGTCCTGAGTCATCTGGGTCGAGTCTGAGTCCAGGTCACGAGTCATAAAGGTTGAGTGTGAGTTACAAGTCACCTTTCATTTGCATAAATGAAACATTTTTCCCCTGTTTTTCCTCAGACTGCAGAATTCGCTCTTCCATTTGCATTTTGCTTAAAATTGATAAACCCAAAATTGACTCCATTTGGAACGGATGCCGTGACCGATCATTGTGCTTTCACAAACGCACAGAGTGTACTGACATCAGATTGTCAGACCCATAACTGAGATTCTTTGAACACCAATACACATGATTCAAAGCATTTCCTTGGCAGGGCAACAGTCTGCATTCATCAAGAATAGTCTGGTACCAAATACATCATTGTGTATTAATTCAGTATCAAGCGTGGACAGCAGAGTACATGGATGTACATGTTTCCACACGTTGATTTCCCTAATCAGGAGACCTACATGTACATTACATGTACATCGGCAACCATGCATGAACCACATGAGCCGCATCACGCGCTGTTTTGCTCAGTGAAAAAAAATGCAAAAATTTAATATCTGCTAGTCACAAGTCATGCAGGTCAAGTCCGAGTCCGCAGCCCGAAGTCCAAGTCCAAGTCATTTGTCAAAGTGAGTCAAGTCCAAGTCGTTAAAAATGTGACTCGAAGAGCACTTGAGTCCCAGTCCTAGTCATGCAAATCTGCTCCACAGTACTAAGGGTGTTTCAAGGAATCTTCGGTTTCATTACCAGAAATTTGTAATAATAATATATAGACTTACAATACATGTACCATATGCATTGTACTTTCATGCTTTCTATTGAAACCAGATATAAATGGTGTGCACCTTCAGTGGTTTATTGAGAGATGATTGTGAAGAAAATAGAAAAACAATGTGCCAGCGTGGGAGCGAGGTTGTATTGGTTGGTGGACAGGTTTGTTTTCATGTTATAAGCCAAAACACTAGTATTAAATTCTGGATTGCAAAACTTATAACATTTTTCTCTACTAAGATTCCCAGTCATTGTGCTTTGTTTCCTGCAGAAGCAGCAACTAGATGAAAAGATAGAAGAAATGCTAACGAGGCTGGATGAATTCTGCGCTGTTGTAGACATGGTGAGAAATAGTCACGAAAATGCTGTTTATTCCAGTGTCTCAATCTGACTCAGACTAAACATCTGTGTTCTAACTTTTTTTCATTTGAAAAGAAAAACATACATGTACAGTGTTAGCAAAGATAAACTTTAATACTACCTGCACATGTGCATCTTTCTCCATGCAACATGACACAACGCTACTGTTGGTTTGTCATTCTTTCTGTGGAAACACTCATGTACATGTATATGCACGCCTACTTGTATGCAACATGCATGGTAACTTTTATCATATAGAATAGTCACCTTAAACATCTCCACATGGTTAGCATGGTGTGCTCAGAGTTGTACAGTACACGTTGCATGTAGAACGATTATATAATAAATATGGTTTATTGTTATTATGCACATTATGGCAGCCGTACAGCAGAATTAATGGGTACAAGTATTACAAATTAATCGTGATATTCATTTAAAAACATCAAAATGGATATATTGCAAAGAAATAATTGGAAAAAAAAAGTAATCCACAAAATCAGTATTTTCATACAAAATAACAAAAGCAATCCAACTTACAACTGTCTAAAGACACATGACATGATGACATAGCAAACATGCATAAGACTTTGAAACAAATAGAACGAACATGTATGGAAAAGATGATGACTATGCTTTCAAAGGAGTTGGACAAAAGAAGAGATGGGCATCGATGTCGATGGAGGGAGAATCAAAGTATTCAGAAATCGAAAACATGAGACATATGCAAATAGTTTATTTGAGGTAAAAAAGAGAATAAAACCTTACACTGAACAATCAAACACTCATTAATAGGAAATTGTTTGAAATGACTAGACCCAAAAAATGAAAGAATATCTTCCACGGCACATAGGAAAAGATATGAAAGCGCATGTCAGTGAATTGAAGTCAAATGGCAAACATGGAGCATGTAATAAACACAGCAGTGATGTTTTGTTAAATTTCCGGTACACCATACATAATGCACACATGTACATGTATGTGAAACATTGTAAACCAATCACAAGATAAAGCCTATGTAATCCTGTGCGCGTGTTTTGGGGAAAAACAGATGAGATTTATTTATTTTGATTTATTTATTCCATTTCTTTACCCAGGGTATGCCCAAACAGTTACACACTGGTTTCCATTGGGGCCCTGCATATTACAAACAATTAAGTAATGGTAAACTCATCATTACTTTGTCGGAACATACAATGAACACTGAAACAAAATAAAATCATTTCAATGTACGGGTTCATGTACATCTACAGTACGTTATAGACGATCATCAGCTCTTTCACAGAATTTGTTTGCATTTAGCATCCACGTTCCACCATCCATATGCAGATTCGCACAGATTCCTCCCTGTCACTCAACAGAAGTCTTCCAGGCATCCATGCCAAAGCTCAGGAGATCAGAGGCATCTTCCAGCGTATAGACCGACTTGAGGTAAGACATGTACATGTAAGCGGCAGCTGTATCGATATGTACCAGTACAGTGTTCTCAGAATCCGTCTAGAAAACATTCACGCATACATGTACGTCTATGTACCCATGACAGCCTAATGATGGCCCTCAGGTTCGACATCAAAATAAAGACGGTTTGCAAACAATGCTCTGGTCAGATGTTAATCCCCTTCAAACCATTTTCCTGGTTGGAACAAAATCATTTGCCAGTTTGAAAGGAAGAGTTTCCTGGTTGCTAATTGGTGTCACGAGCAAACGGTTAGCAATTGACCGAGTAGAAAAAATTTGCTGTACTGCTGCCTTTGCTATAGAACTTCAGTGGCACCCAGTCGGTCCTTCACAGCCAGCCATAGAGGATTAAGTAGCGGTCTACATCTCTTGGCAACAAAGAAGATCAACTTTTCTTTTCAGTTTGCCAATTCCTTATTAACCATTACATTTTGAGAATCATTACCTTTTGAAGAAAGCTTTTGTCTCTTAAACAACAAATTGATCCAAGGAGACACCTTACAGCATCTGTGCATACTTGTTAATTTAAGGCAGGAGCATAGTTTGCGATTAGACAGGGCACCCTATTGGTCAAAAGGGTATTATGTGCATGAGCACAGTGCCATGTCGGAATGTCTAATTCTGATCACCAGCTTAGTATGTGGACCAGTGATTTCTAGATGCATGCCTTTTTTCTGCTTTGCTATGCAGGAGTTTGTGAGCGTGGTTCGTGACAATGTCGCAGCTATGGAAGAGGAAGTGAACGAGGTAGAACGAGAGCAAGGAACTCTTCACTCCATCAAGAACCTGCTGAGTACCCTGCCCGTCTTCACCACGGTTTGTACCGTTTTTTGTGTGTGGTTGGTTTCCAGTTTTGTGGTACAGAGGCTTTGCGTGGTAGCCATCTTGCAGGGCAGTTCTTTTGTTCCCATAGAGAAATCTCCTTTGTGCATACCCTGTGGAACAAAAGCACTAGCCTGCAACATGGCGGCCGTGCAAACCCTCTATTGATTGATGGTACTTCTGTTGCTGCAGTTATCCCTTTTCTGTTGTTACTTTTAGTGCTGACACGATGAAGTAACTTTGGGTTCCCAGGTTGGAATCTCATGGAAGACTCTTGTTCTGTTAGGAAAAGTCAGCCTTAAATGTGTGGACTGTAGAGTCTGTCAGGTTATTCATACTAGGTATACATGCTAGTGACAGAATTGTATATTGTAGAGTTTTGCCAAGGAGAGGGAACAAATGACAACAGTCACCAATTTGAGCATGAGGAATGTCACAGCACACCTCCAAGACACCGATATTCCCACAACATTCAAAAAGATGCGTAACAGTCATATTATTCCTGCACTTCCCTCTTTTTCTTTCAGAAAAGAAGTTCAGGCCCAAAGCCCCCAAAGAAATTCACACCGTTGGAGATTTTCAAAACGTCTGATTACATCAAGGCTGAGCCCGATGAAACACCACCAGTGCCGGAGGCAAAGAACGGAGACACATGATATGAATCAAAGGCACAAGTCTTGCCCTTCTTACAACTCATTGTCTAATTTCCCAACTCTTTTCCATAATGATGCCACACAACCTCCTGCAGTTGTTCTGTCTAACCCACAGTGTCAGTGTTTGTAGACATACAGCCAGCTGTCAAAAAGTTTCAGACCACCTGGAATTTTGTCAGTATTTCTGTCACTGGCCTGCATTACAGTTTCTCATTGAATTGTTACATTATATGTTTTAACGGTGGTCCATAACATCCGAGTATTGCTATGAGCCCAGTTCAGTGAAATTTTTTGCAAAGGCAGGTTTTGTGTAACATTTTGTCTTTAATGCCGCCTGGTAAAGATGCTAGTCAAAGTCATCAGACACAGAAGAGGGCACACTAAATATTAGACTGGATTCATTGCAAATCATTGAAATGTAACCAAGATACCGAGGTTACACGTTGAAAATGAACATGATTGCTATGATTTATTGGTTCAAGTTTGGTTTCTCTTCAGGTTAATGCATTTTGTTGGGGGTGTCCCAAAGTTTTAGAAATGACTGTATATACTATGTGATTCCACACAATAACTGAAGGGCTGGACATTTGCACCACATTAAACCAGATGGTGTAACGAAGTGCTGAGAAAAAATGCAGTTTGGGGTCCTTGACGGAAACTTTGAAATCATGTGACATACATGTACACCCTAGCATGGGGAAATCCACATGATTTTAATAATCACTTCGTAATGCAACAGGTACATGAACATTTTTTTTAAAAATCATTCCTTTCCAAAGATGCAAAATTGTTGCGACGTTTCATATCATGTTTAGTTAATGTGTACAAAATTCTCACCTCCACACAGTTGAACAAAACCCACCCATAAGAGACACCACCAGCCTCTTGTGTAGGGAAGTGAAATCACTTGAAAATACTTGTACAATCAGTGTCACTTGGGACCTCATTGGTGGATTTGTGGCCAGGTCAAGAAGATGTGACTAACAGAGTTAGCCTCAGTTCCTGTGTGCTCTCTGTGCATCTCCCATACCGTGTACAACTGTATGGGTTTATTTTGCATGCGAATGAGAGAAAAAAACTAGATGATTTTCCTCCTTCTGACAGTGTACTCAAAGATACAAAGTTACGAATGACTATAAATAAATGAGAATGGTATCAACAGTTGGTTTACTCATTTTTGTATATACATGGTGTGCAGCTGTTGAGGCATGATTGGAGAGATTAATATAATCTTAAAAAATTGTACATTGATAATAAATCTGCAATTGTGAATTGCTGTCAAAATGAAGACCGATTTGTCCGTGAAAGCGTATGTGTACAGATAAGGCTTTTGCTTTGGTGTGTAGATTAATTGCGGTATGTGTAACGCCGTAAAGTAATGTTGCCTTTGGTCCCAGTCCCGACCGCCTCTCTCCAGGAAAAAAAAGTCGGGGAGACCTTTGTATTGACTTACCTTTTGCTCGACAAAGATCTGCTGACTACAGAATGGCTTCCGTGCTATGAAACACAGTTTGTCGTAGGTATTAGAGGTGTCGGGACACCTGCAAGGTCCCTGTTTTAAACCACTGACGACACATTAACAACGCAACCGCGTATGAATAATTCAGCATCTTCCAGCAATGCATGACAAAACTTAAAGCAGGTTTAATACAAAGCCCTATCGCGGGAAAAACTCCAGTGAAAAGTAACTTTCGTTACCGACAGTTTATTTGTCTCTTAACGCAAATTTATACACACTATTGGTTCAGCCAATCTAAAAACAAACGAACTTATAAATAATTAGACACGGGTAATATCAAGCTCTTGCAAAACGGGTTCTCTTTGGGCATAATAAACACAGAATAAAGTCACCAACAGGTTACAAACATGGGTGCATGCCAGATACCACCCACCCCCATTCGTAGGAAAAACAGCAAAAATCTCCCTCCAACACTTTCCGAAAATTTTAAACGCCATCCCGTTGAAATGTTCGGTTAGATGGTCATTTTTGTAGTAATCATTAAAAGGATTTCCAAAGTAAAAAAGAACTGTACGTTTAGTGTCTCCCCCCCCAACTTGTCTCACTCGTTTGGAAATACTTGTACGCTCTAAGAGGACCATGCCCCCTTTTCAGGAGGGCGTCGAAAGGTTCTTCCTGCCAGCAAAATTTCAACTTTTAGCGAAAGTTTGTAGATTTGTTACGTTCTGGCCCTAGCTGTAATTTGGCTATGACTACAAGTACTAAAACACAAGCTTTACAATTAAGCTGCTGAATTATATAATTTACAAAGCAGTTATGTTTAATTACAAATAAGCCAATGAAAAAAGCATACGTTTTTAAAATGTACAACGCGTATTGGTCGATTAAATGTACAGCGTTATATCAAAACGTACAAAGCATCCGTTCTCATGAACATTTATTACACATATATTTAAGAATGCATTATCCAATCTTTTAAGCAGAAAAGCCATATCACTTATGAATACAAAATGTATTAAGTACACGATTTAAAGTTTGTCTTCAGTGCGTTGCAAGTACAGTATGTATTGTATCAGAAAAGTCATCTGTGTGTGAAATATTTCACTGCATAATAATGTATCACGTGTACAATACAATATACAAGATAACTTGTCATAATAACTGTTGATATTTTGATCATTTTGTATTCAAGGTCGTTTGAATTGCTCTGAATACGTCTACGTTTTATTACAGACCAGTACCACAGCCTTATACACTCGGTGGTTTTGCAGAGGGTAAAATGTTGGTTCTTGTAACGAACTTTACAGATTATTTTTCAACGATAACGGATTTTGAACATGCAACAGCTACAAACCACGTGATACGCCCACGTTAACAGAGGAAGTTTAAACTACACGTATCATGAAATCATTTTCTATATTTTGTTTTAAAAGTGCAAGTGATTTTCTTGACTTTCATGTAGACAATACAGACACCCTTTTGTCCCACAAATAAAGTTACTATTTCACTGTAATTACAAACTTAACACTGACGTAAGGCACACATCCTTATCCAGATGTAATTCGGATTTCAATTGATTTCTTTCGTCCCCACAAACCAGTTTTGTTTCTTTGTTTGCTTGTCGGCGCTGAATTTTTCCTTCTCAGATATCAAATATTCTCACCACTTTTCCAGACACGGGAACTGCTTTGTGCAATAATTTGCACCGTTTCCAAGATGACTGCGTGTCGTCAGATCAGCCGTTCTGCGTTTTTGTCCTATCTTCAAACTTCTCATTGGGAGCGCCACGGAACTGTACGTCGCATACTGTGGTTCAACTCCACCTGGTTCCTCTTGGAATTTGGTAAAACTACATGGTAATTCCTCAGGGACCAGGTTTTCTCCAACAGCGTGAACCATATATAACATACGTATATCTACTTGGAAAGCTGCAGCTGCGTCTTTCATCGTCTAACTATACAAGATGAATCAACAATTCAGCCTTTTAAAATAGATCCACCTAAATCATGCACTTTTTTCTGATCTTATTGGGACTATGGTCTAGAATATCGGAATGTGAAATATGTCCAGTTGACCAGTGGCACATTGACAATCGAAGTGAGGTGTTTCACGATTTTCCTCCTAACGGAAATGCGATTCTTTACTGACAGGTGTGGTTAATCGAGGGGTTGTGGTATTGCACTGTCTATTTTCCCCACCCACTAAGCTATCCATTCAACCAGCCATCCACTATCTCGCCACCCATCACCCACAAAAACAAAACAAAAACAGAATTAGCTGATGTGTTTTTTTGAAGATGATTCCCCATTCTAAAAATCATTCTGTTATTTTATGTGAATATGGATCTGGAATTAATTCCATATGCTAATGATGACCTTTGCTCCCCGTAGGTGTAAACCTCAAACCTGAGTACCACTTAGAAGAATCCAAGTGTACACACGCACCTAGGCATGTACCAACCTGTCGACTTATTCCACCCCTTTACATGCCTAAACCCATCCCAGCCGTAAATCCCTTCGACTCCTACGCAGCCACCCAGCTATAAATCTCTAACGCCAACCACCCACTCCACCACACCCGGTCAAACCGATGAATCAATCCCACTCAATATCCAACTACATGTATCAAACTATCCCACGTAACCACTCATCCATTAATCCATCCCACCAAAGCATCCACTCTTGTCCCATCAGAACCAACGAACCAGCCACCTGCAAACCCATTAAAGACTTTCCCCAAGAGTCAAACTAGTGATACCATGTGCCCCTCAGGACTTCATACTTCACCTACGCTGAGGGAACTTCGGCGTTCTCCACAAGTTGACAAGAGATGGGGGATCTGGTTGAAAATCAAGTGGGGCAACAACTAGCATCTCCGAGCTGTGCGTGTTCTCACTCAAGATGCAATGTGCTGCTTCTGGAATTCATGTCTCTTCAGCATCCCTTCGGACTTAAAGTTAAGGCCGCACTCCTGGCATTTGTATGGGTAGTTGAAAGTGTGTCGCCTCTGATGGTATCGGAGACCAGTCACGTGTTTGTATTTGGCGTTGCACAAGCTGCAGACGTAATGCCGCTGTGCCTCGTGGGAGTGTCGATGACGCTGCAATTCCTCCTCCGTCGAGAATGTTTCCTTGCACTTAGTTTGCCTGCACCTGAACACTTTGCCCCGACCGTGCCACTTCACAATGTGTTTCATGAGAGTGGGTTTGGACTTAGTAGAGTAGCCACAAGTGAAACACATATACAAGCCCTTTGTGTTGGTGTGGTGAAACTTCACGTGGATATGCAATTCACCGGAATTCTTGAAATAGAGGTTGCAATAGCGGCAACGCAGCTGCTCATCTGCCTTCTGTGCAGCGTTGGGTTCCCTGATCTGATTGTCATTGATCACCGGGTTGCTGACGAGAGATGTGGCCGGGGATGCTAGCATTCCATCTGTCTTAAGATGTTTATTGCGGGGAACAGGTGCCGGTGTGGTGTCTGGCTGGACGGGCTCTGGCGAAATTACTGCCAAATTGTTTGTCGCTACTGGCACTCCAGATGTGATCTGCTTTCGGCTTTGAACATCAATTTTACCTGTAAGAAGTGGGGAGGTTCCCTTCGAATGCTGAAGAGATTGGGTGTAGGCACCGATTCGTTCCCCGTTAACAGTTCCCCATACGTCTTGAGTCGATGCGTTCGGAATTCTTTGTGTAGTAACGGTGCTGTTGGACGCTGTTGACGGCACAACGACACCAACTGCTTTTCGTGTCCCATTTCCAGAGCCAGGCTTACTGTGTTTGTCAAAATGTTTCTGGTTAACATGTGATCGAAGAATCCCGCTGCTAAAACATTCAAACGAGCAGAACGGGCAAGACGAGCGGGTTGGAATGGTATCGTCCGCTTTCCGCTTCCTGGGAGGCTGGGATGTCTCGGAACGTCCATCACCGTATTTCAGATTCGCGGTGGAACCTACCTGGACAGATGTAATCAGAGTGGCCTCAGTTGCTGAAGTTGATAGTAGTGTTGCACCGTGATCTGACAAATTACTAACCGTGAAGCGAGGTGTGTGGTCAACAGGGTCGTCATTAATAGACACGGTGAGACCTGAGGTGCACACCTGCTCCTGGATCGATTCTACCCCGAGGACATTTTGATCTTTGCCAGAGGATTTCTCTCGCTGGTTGTCAGCCTGTTGCGGTTGAGGTTGGACTGCCTCAGTCACCCATCTGTTCTGAAGGCTAGTCTTCACCTTCTGGTAGTGCGTCAATGTATTGGACACGGGCTCCTTGTTGTCTGTGGTTGTCAGGTTTTGCACATTATGTTCGCGTTGCGTTTGTCCCTGGGACGATCCCTTATCACTACTGACATAATCTTCAGCGGGATTTAGAGAGGCTACAAAGCCAGAACGGTCTTCCCGTTCACAGCTTTGACCGACGCGCTCGTGACAAGGTAAAGTATGAACGCTTGGGGGAAGTAAATCTTTGCCGAGTTGATTGTCTGACTCCTCGGCCCTTTTTGCCTTTCTCTTGGGTGGGTACGAATAAGCTCGGAGAATGTCAGGCGTCGATACTGACCTCACCTTTGTCCGTGATCTCCTTTCCAGCAATTTACTCCGTATCAGAAGTTGTGTTGGGCTTAAATTGTCAATAACAGGAGCTCTTACGATTGCTGAGAGGTTGACAAGGCTAGATGCCCTGATGGGACCTGGCTCTCCGGCACTGTACGCTCTGTGGTAAAGCTCGCTGTTGTGCTCGGCATACAGTGGTTGGTCTCCACCACAAACATTAGCTACGCATTCAGAAATGTTAGTCCTCAGATCCAGGACGAAGTCGTTGTTTTCTTGAATGACAGGCATACCCGTCTGATCCTGAATACTCCCTGTGTCTTGTGATTTACTTGGCGCCTCCAGTAAAGGAATGATAGCGGGGGGCGGATTGTAAAAACGTTTTGGTGTTCCTGAAGTTCTCAACGACTGACTTTGAGATGTTTGTTTGAACTGATGTTGAGTCTCAGAAACGACAGAATTTCGGGAACCAGATTTCTGGCTGTGCTGCGGTAACATCAACAGGTTTGCTGCCGACACAGGATGTGTTGGGAGTTTGGCGTTGGCGTCCTGCGTGTGATATGGTGTGGGTGCTCCATGAAAACCAACCCACGATGTAGAATTGCTTGATGTATTGCTCTGCGGCGAAGTATCTGAAGATCGGTAATGTATGGTAGATCGCCAAACTCTCTCTTCCTGTCTTGGCTTCACTGCCTCCTTACCTTCCTCTGCCGGCAGTGAGGCAAGTATCGCCTTGAGAGTCTCCCGAATTGGTATTCCTTTTTTGCGCTCATTGATGAGATAATTGGTCAGGTCTTTTGGCAATTTTTTCAGGAAGTCGTCGGGAACAGTGGTCGTTTGAGGAGATACTTGGGATGCAGTCTTTGGTAAGTTGTCTTCAGACTGTGCGGGCCACTGGTGGTAGGCAGTTTGCCTGTGGATAGCATCTGTGTTGCTTTCTCTGCGCAGATCTCCCCGCGTTGCATGGCTGTCATCAATTTTTGTTGAACTGCTAGCTACTCCATCGTGTCCTTCGGCAGCTGTTTGCCTTCCCTGTAACGTTCGGCTCACGGGCAAGCTATTATCTACTGCATACCGTCTGCTTGCTTCTGCCAGATTGCATATGAATGCGGTTGCTGAGTTGGCTGGAAGGACTGCTTGCTCCCGCCAAGCCACGGCTGTGGGTGACGCCCTACAAGCGCTCACATTCGGGCCGCTGGCGACTACGTTTGCCTGGAATTGATGTAACGGAACAGCACCCGTACCTGGTCCCGGACTTTGCATTGCATTTGTTAGGTTCCCAGTGGTTGATAGGCGCCGACGCTCGGAGCTACTAGAAATGTTTGCACTTAGTCTAGCTCTCCATCGCTGTTCGTTGAGAGAGGAAGTGGCCCCGTAGACTGCATGTCTGGAATTCCCTGTATTCTGAGGCTGTGGGTGTAGTGCAGATCCTCTTGCGTTTATGAATAAGCGTTGTTGAGTTTCCAAGGAATGAGACAGGTTGTCTGAGGGTTGCAAGCTTATTCTGGGTATTTGTTGATTGTTGATATCGCCTTCTTGGATGTCATGTCTCCGCTGAGCGGCATTACTTTGAAGACTCTGACACAGTGCATGATGGTTCAAGAGTTCCGGTCGTGTTGAATACTCACTATCAAGGGATGTATCTGCTGTAATGTACAGCGTACCCTTGTCACCTACCGCCGCATTGGAAGTGTCGGATACACTTTGAACCGAAACAGGCACTGAATGCATGATTCGTCTGGTATCGGAGGCAACTGTTTTACCCTCACCTGGTTGGACGTTGTTTGAATGGACTTGTTCTCGGTACTGAGCTCTGCAACTGGTGTCTATCCTATCTATGGAAATCCTTTGATGTTGTCGATATGCTACACGCTGCGAGTTGGAGCTGAACAAACTTGGATTCGGTAGAATATGGGCAGACTGCAACTGCTGTTCGTGGGCACTGTGCATTACAACTGGAGTACTTGCAGTGCACCGAGAAGGTAGGGCATTTTCTATCTGTTGTGGAGTAGCATTAAGCGATTGATTTTTAGGCGTGTTGCTGGACCCCGCTCGTTGTCGATTTACTGTAAGGCCCAACAGTGGATTTTGTATTTTCTGTTGTCTATTTTGAGATACACCCTCTGGGACTTGGGATGGAATGGTTTGAACTGCACCACTTAATTGATGTGAACCCCTGCGAGATAGTTTGGGGTATTGATTCTGAGATTCGCTAAGTCCTTGTGCTTGATCTACATGGAGGTTCGTTCCTGGGCAATTCAGTATTTCCCTGCTGTACGCCACACAGCGTCTACCATTAGGGAACTCGATGGGTATCCCAGCTCCAAAGTTCATTATCTCGTGTGGATGACGACCATTCGAATTTTCCATGAAGTCAGGCAGATTGTGAGGTTGGGTGGTCTGGACTGTGGTCACTGGCTGTTCAAGATTACGACCGTGCTCCTGCATCAAGCGCCACCTTAGCTCATTAAATTGCCCGTTTTGATGTACATGTGGGATGGGGTTGGGGCAGTCTACGATGGTGAAACCATTGCTGTATCTTCCAGCAGTGCGACCCCTGGTGCCTTTAGTAATTGGCTTTGAGTTCCCAGCGGGAGTCTCTGAGGAACTCCCTGCGCCATGAATAGTGGCACCGTGCACAGAGTTAGGTCTCTGAGGTGCGGCAGACGCTACAGTTCCTTCACGATGTCCGTCAGACACTCGAGATGCAGAGTGATGACGGGTCCTCGAGTCTCTTGGTCCGGTCTTGTCATTTCTTGAAGGTAATGCCGAAGAAGACAAGATGTTGGTACTAGGGCTGTCTTGATTGCTGTTCTGTTCTTTGGCCTCCATTGAGGCAGCCATCTCAGACATTAATGCCAGAGAAATAGCTGTGTCTATCTCCTGTGATCTCGAAGGAAGACACGCAATGTCATCAGCATCTATCCGTCCAATGACAGCCTCATCTATGGACCTGCTCTGATTGCTGTTTGAAGCAGCTGAAGCCTCCTCTTGGCTTGATGGGGTATTTTTGCATGTATCTCTGTTGTAGTCTTGAGCCTTCATCATCTCTTGGTAACGACCAGGACTACATTGATTTTCATTGATAGAGTTGTGTCTTGGAGACATTTCCAACGTGACGTGCGACGACGTGTCACTTCTAGAAGAGACATTTGAGACATCTTTCGGCTGATATTCCGACAAGTAGTTGGTTTTTGTCTGACATTCTCTTAAAGTCTTTTCTATCCGACTTTCTAAATCTAATTGTGGACATTCCTCTTCTTTAAGACTTTCGTCACCGGCAGAAGATGGACGACTTTCTTGAGAATTCAATGTCTGTCCCAGTTGGGAAGGAATTTCGGTTGCTTCCTCGGATGCAGGTTGATCAATATTTTGTATGGAGTGCGAAGCTTGATTTGTTTCGAAAACTGAGAAGTTTGGTGCATCACTTCCACACACTGGACTTGTGTCACCATGACTGTTCACCTGCGCCTCTTTCGACATTCTGTCATTGCAATCTGTCTCACTGTTCTTGTTGTCAGTCGACCGACTGCAGGAAAACATGACCCCAGCTCCAATGGTTGAGAGATTGGAATCACCAGCGTGGGAATCGATCACAACCTCAGCTACTTCGATGCTACCGTCAAAGATGAGTTCAGGGAAACCTTGCTCACTATTAAGTAAAGTTAATTCTGGGGTTTCTGAGATGGATGCAACGGCCCTCTCAATTTCAGTTTCGGAATTGATATCGGAGAGCGAAGAGTGTATTGAAGCAGCCTCATTTCCAAGTATGTGTGTGCCTCCAGCGTAAACGGAACGATTGTAGGCAAAGGCACCCCGATCCACACAAGACCCAATGCTTTCTGTTTTTTCTTTCATTCCATCAGTACAATGGATCACGTCTGGTGTCAAGTCCGGAACCCGCCCGTCATCATTTAAGAGTTTTTGTCCCACTTTCCAAATTCTGTCTCCGAGAGAAATAACCTCAGATGTCTGAAGGTCCCCTGCCGAGCCACGTTGAGGAATATCATTCGGAAACAAGGTGTTTCTCTCATGTGTGTTCGTCTCCGCAACCTGACACTGTTCATCCCGATATTCAGTATCTTGACAGTGTAGTGTTGCTTCAGCGGTTGGATTCTTCTCAACTGGCGGTGTTCCCACCTTGTCTCGTGGAGGCTCTTCGGCAGTCTCTTCACATCTGGACGCCGGCTCGTTGGGTGATGAAGGAAATGAAAATGCACCGGTTGAAACTCTTGGCAACTCGTTTTGGAGATGTTCTGATGCCAATGAATCGGCGGAACTCCTCCGAGAGGGGGTGTTGTTTCTTTGACTTTGCACTCCAGTGCTGACAGTTGAATCTGTTCTGAATAAGAATACCTCACTTACAGCAGAAAGGTCGTCCTCCTTGCGTCTACTCGGTTCAGACCGCGTCGGGCTCATTGTGGATTGGATTTCAGTTATTTCAGTCATTTCAGCCATACCTACTGGACTTGCATCACCACTGAATGATGCTTGGGGTGACGCCCCTCCACTTTGAGATGCTTTGAAAGAAAAACTGCCGTAACGGTTCCTCTGCTCAGGAAGAACGTCATCATCGATACTCATCAGCGGTGGTGGACTCAATATCGGCGGTTGATCAAGGCAAGAACCAGGCATTGGCAAGGATTCTAGTCTTTCCAAACGCGGTGGTCCGTCACAGAGTGTGTCTGCTGTCTCTGTGTTCCTGCTAGTAGGGATCTCGTGCTCATCCAAGCAGCAGTGGTCAACATTAATAATTTCGAATCTTTCTTGCAAATTGTCAGCGGGATATATTGGGTATTTGATTGTTTCACCAGAGCCGGTGGATGGAATACTCATAAGATCGTTGCTAAAGGAAGGCCTACCTTTACAAAGGTCGAATTCAGGGATCTTATCGATCGCGTCAATACTGGTGAATGAGTGACCGTCACCGGTCTCATCAACTGTGCTAATACCGGGTTCTGACGGAAATTCGCTGATCTCATTGATTGTATCGACACTGATTTTTGTCGGAAAATTAGGAACCAGTTTCGCTGCAGTATCATTGTTTACTGTTCGACTGTCAATGACTCGAAATGTCGATTTAAAACTGGTTTCTGACTTATCATCTGTGATGTAATTGGAGTCAGTAACGTTCTTGAATGATGGGCAGTCGATGAGCTGATCGTCGTCATTGCCTGTGCTTAACGGTTGACAGTCACTGACTTGACATAAAGTATTTCTGTCAATTTTTGCCTGATCGTCGTCATTGTGACGTTTTGTGATATCACTCTTCCCTGATGGACAGTCGGTGATCTGAATGCCATTGCTGTCTCTGTTTATTGATCGACACTCAGTTAAATGCCCGACAGTGCTTGCATTGATTTCTGGTTGATTATCAGTGTTTTGGCAGGTTACAACATCAACGTACTGCGATGTAAACGAACTGGTCTGATCGATGTTGTCACTGTTCCTAGGTGAAGATTTGATTTGACTGATTACACAGGAACTGCTTACTGATTGATATGTTACTTTACTGTCAGATATCGGATTTGCGTCAGTTGCACCATCTTCAGCGATTGTATATGACGTGCATTCTTTGTCAGAACTTCTAACAGTCGAGTTGTTCTTCACGTTGTTATCAGCCCATCCGCTGAGAAGACTTGTGAAGATATTCCTATTTAAGGAATAGCGGCCACCACCTCCATTCAGAGCTTTTGCACCCAACTCTTTGTTCTTGTGTTTATTGTAGGGTCTATTGGGACTAGGCGCATTTCCGTCTTCACTGTCTGCACTCCATGAAACTCCTTCGGACAATTCAGTGGCTGTGTCATCCCATCCCGTGCAGTCCTCTCTGGCATCATCGCCGAGAGGTGTAAGGCAGTCCTGATCCAAACTGGTCTTCTTTAGGAGGATGATGCAGTTCTTAATCTTCCCGGATTCGATGAGTTTCATGGTGGTGCTGCCAGGGGACAGCTGTACAGGGCTGAGGGTGGGAGTCTTCCGTGGATTGTCCTTATCAGTGGACGGAAAACCCGCTGACTCCACGCGTATAGGAAAGAACACGCTCCCTTTCTCCCCGGGGTTTGTTTCGCGGCATTTACATTCATCATTTGTGTTCATGGCTCTCTCGGGTCTAGGCCAATCACTGTTTGTGTCTCCTAGGTTTGCAATCGAGACTGACTGAGCTGATGTGTTACAAATCTCCGCCATATGATTTATCTACAGGATAAAAGAAGATGAAATGAAAAAAATCCATTTAGGGATTTGTGTATATTATTTTTTTAATGTTAAAAAATCACGGAAGTTATTCTTTTGATTGAAAATATAATCACTCAGTAACTCAAGCTTATCAAATATTTACCACGCACCATTACTCACACAAAAATACGATTTGTCAACAAAAAAGAAAATCCAAATCAAGACAGGTACTTCCAAGCCGAAGACAGGTCTTTTCAGTTTGAAAAACTTGTAATTCTCTTGTTTGTTTTTGGGACCTTTCGATTGTTTAGTTACCTATACCGCAACACATGTGTTGATATATTAACCAAAAGTCAATTTTAAATGAAAAAAAAGCAATACATGCCTTTTATTATTCGCAACATTGTTGTTATCAGTCTCTGACTGTCTTGAACTTTCAGTCCCTGTAGCCTGTAAAAATAGAACAGAAGAGGAATTTTAGAAATGCAAGAGAAAATTGAAGGGTTTGCCACAAACAAACTCCTCAGGGGCATCAGAGCACAAACAGTATTGGGCCTTGAGCTGGACCAAGACAGGGTGCTATTTTCTCAGCAACGGAGGCTTCTTTGGTCGCAATTGAACTCACTGATTCACGATGGATCAGGAAACACACGCTTCACATTCGCGTCGCTACCAACAAATTGAACACTCCCGACCAGCACAGCTCTTTTCAGCTGATGAGGGGGTGCTTCAACACATTCTGTGCCATGCCGCTTTCCTCCCAAAATGTCGCGGCAAACTCATTGATTAGGTTTGAAACCATCTGCACCTGCTCAGTATATTCTTATCGATATTCTGATCGCGGTGCTACGCAGCCCTTCCACATTTCATGCACCTGCTCAGTGATGGCTTCTAGTTCCTGTGTATACATGTACATGTACAATGTTTAATTTAATGTTCGTCAGATTTCCAGTACAGGCTATCATTGCATTTTTTATTTTGTATGCCAAAAAGACACCATCATAATAGATTCGAGGACACGGTCTAAATCTTCAATGATATTATGTCTCGACTTTAAAAAAAAAAAACTTAGCTCTCGTAGCGCTACACAACCTGGATACGCTTGGGTATATTGATGGCAAATTTGATGGCAAGAAAACGTCAAGAGCCGACCTTCGAGGCAACCTAGACAATAGGTCGTCTAAAAGCTGCATTTGCAAAGGATCCTAAACTCCAGAAAGGATGTGTGGTAGCTGGCTGGGATGTGTGTTAAATAAGGTTTGTTGGTGTACAGAGTTTCACTTCCTGGATCTCCTCCGGACACGCATCACTAAATGGTTTCCTAACGTTTGTGGTATAAAGTACCCCAAACGGATGTCACAGTCGTGATAACACGCGCTAGTGGAATGTCCATCGTTCCAATAGTTAGATGGAAATTCATAATGGAAAACACTTATTTCTGTTAGGGTCTTCTTATAAAAGAAACTTATAGAAATTTAATCCCAATCCCAAGGGTGTAGGCCCCTATGTAAAACCATACTTAAATCGGAGGATTGAGGATTATTAAGGTTAAAGGGTACCTTGGTACAACGTACAGTTTAGCTGCATACAGCACAGCACTGTTCAGCTTGCTAGCCTAAAACTAGTGACGCGGAGAGGTGACCTGACCAGGTCATCAGATTTGGTCAGCTGAATTCAGTCGAACAGTTGAATTTCGGAAGGATTAAAAATCTCGAGTTTTACACAATTCTTGGCATTGTTGAAACCCTTTGCTGTAATTGAATTTACCAGGATCACATCGAGTTGAACCTCCTGTAACCCTTGAGAGTAACTGTGGTGGTTAACTCCAACGAGGAACAGGATCGTACCACCGCTACATCTGCACGACACTTGTTCAGTAAAAGTTGTTCCCCAGGATGAGTCAGTGTCAGATCACAGTCACGAAGACTGAACGCATTTTCCACACGATTATCTAAAAGTCATTATCGTGATACACGACGTTACTTCTGCAATCACAAGGTCACGAAACGGCCAGTCCCTATTAAGCCTTGTTTAATTAATCTCGTGTGCCATGACTATGGAGCATACGACTGTGGTGTGTGACACTGTACGGAAATGCACCTGCAAGGCTACATAGTTTTGGCTTCTTGTATTTTTGCACTGGCATTATCGTCTACTGTTTGACCTCTGATCAGTTCATGCATCGGTAAATATGCATAAAAGCAAATTCAGGATCGAGAAATTTGGTCATGAAAGCGAACAACTCAAACCCACTGGGCTCCTGAAATAGAAAAGTGACGACGCTTGGAGCACAGCGATTACGTTGCCAATTATGGCCGATTTATATTCAGTTTAACAACAGGTAACACAAACCAAGAAATGAAATAAAAATTATTCAATTAGATAATCTGTGCCAGTAGATTCAAAATGACACCCTGACGATGTGACTTAAGCTTGAGCTATTTTCACCAAGGCGATTAATGTATACTCGTGACGTCACACAAGCAAATTCTGCGACGAACGACATGAATCAATCATTATATTATGTGATATTTGAAAGTTTTTTCCTGGTGAGGGATAGGTTCGCGGTAGCACTGTGTGATACAGTTTTGAAAAGAACCGACTCATTATACATCGCATCAAATGAAATGCAACGTTACAATTTATCTAGACGACAGATCTTGAATTACAACGAAGCCTGATGCTAACTGTATACTGTTTCAATTTCAAGTGGTGAGACCTGTACCACAGACTTGCTTTTTGGCTGGCAATGACGTCAATAGTCAATTTGATATTATATCCCACGCCAATAATGGTTTCCGAGGGAACCACTTCGCTGTAATGAGACTGGTTTGCTGGGTTGGACTGAAACAGACTGCTTTCGTTATGACAACCGTGCAATAAAAACCTGACAGACAGCCAACTGGGGATCGACTTGATTGTCTCTGCTAACAATGGATGCTAGGTATTCATAATGTTGACCGCAAGGGGCAGGGAGGGATTTTGTTGAGTAGCATGTTTCTGGCAATAGTAACTCGTTGGGAAACTGGTCCAATATTTACATCAGCCTCGTTGCGACCATACCATGCCTCCGGTATGTCACTTCAGATGTAAACGAGTGAGTGTAAACACCACTCGACAGTGTCCTGCGACACGTTAGCCTGTATAAATCTCGACCCGTACGACTCTATTATCGACTCTCATTTCAAACTGTATCTGCATGTGTCGTCTCCCATCCCACCACCAGGTTTTCCCAGACCACCCGGTACACGGGCACTCAGTTGCCATTTTTTCCTACCTGCGTGATGGAAACGAAATGCAATTTCATGGGGAAAAAAACATCTTTTTGCATTCACAAATGCCAAACAACGCTGCATTGTTTGCTGAAAAGGCGCGTGCACCTTGAATGGAACTACCGACGTGTTATTGGTAGATCGCGGAGCCCTGTAGTCCCAGTGCACACATGAATAGAGTCCAAGTTTATCCCAGTCAAATGTCCTATTTGTCCACCAACACACTGTGTCTGCAAGTAAATAAAATGCTTTCCTTTTTGCAATGAAGTTGTACTGTGCTACAGTTTTCTACCGGCGTGGAACTTCCAGCACCAACTGCCAACAATGACTTGATAACAAAACGTATTTACATTGAAATATTTCGTGAAACTATGAAGAAAGTAACGTGCCTGAAATACTATGCTGCTATGATGCCGTTTCTAAACCACAGCTTCGTCTCCAGGTTACCATTCCGGAATAACATACAAATTTAACCTTTTTTTCAAGGAAATAAGAATTCTTCGAATGCATTATGTCATTGCATTATCCGGAAGCAGACAGTGCAGATAGTTATCCACTAAAGGATATCATGGCGCCCAATATCGAAGCCCAAGCCGACGATACAGCCTACCGTAAAAAACATCTAGTTTAGCGTTTTACACACATTGACAGTCGACACATTTACAGTGGGTTATTTAATTAGAAATTCAGGTTTCAAAATGCAAAAACAAAATGCAGAAACAAAACAACAAAAAAAATATCTAAGATTTTGTCAGTGATTTTTAGACTCGGATTGACAGCAGTGTGCGAGGCTGCCCAAGATTTTATTCTAATGTGAGAAACAGATGGGTATAGGTGACAATTTGAAAAACGCAGTGGATATTTTGCCGTTGCCGGCAAGAAGTGAAATATATTCTGCCAATAGTCTTGCTCTGATTGGTCCATATTTATGACGTCACGGTTGTTGATGGACATACCCTGATGTGGCCCACTTTTATTTTTCACCTGTGGTAAAAACAATATATTTACCTTAATTATTGTAGCCATAAGTGAATTGTTATCAAGATCCACTATTCCTGTGAATAAATCTGAAGTTTCTGTTTCTCTTTCAAAGTTCTGATGGTATTTATTTCGGCTCCATTTCCCGATTTTTTTTCTCGAGCAAACGAACTCTTAAACTGCGCCCATGAACAACGGAACAATTTTCTTCATACTTGAAGTTGGGTGTATGAGTGAAAATTAATTACAACTTTACTAGAATTTATCGACTTTGAAGAACTTCTTAAATGTCAATGTGAGATTTTCTGAAACGTTTTTGAAGTGCACCTTATAAGGAAATTTGAACAGGGACTTTATGGCCAAGCTCATAACACTGTGAGTCGGATACCAATGTCATTGGCCGTTCTGACGGAGAGCTCCACTTGTGTCAGTGTTATAGAGCCTGAAAGTTGACCCCTGACGGCGCGCTTACGGAACCCTTGGATAGGAAAAGTTACGTGCAAAGATTTTAGAATTTGTAATTTTTTCAGTTACTTCTTTAAAATCCGACTCGGAAAAGGGGCTATGGACAAATTGGCTAGTATATCAATTTACTGAAACTGAAAAATCCCCTGACCTAACTTGAAGAGAAATATCCTGTCAGAAATTGATACATCACTCCCGAAAATCTAAAATACATGAAGAACAGTCCAACGAGTCAGTTTCGCACGCAGATGAACATTTACAGTTTAAATTTTTTGGTAATCCGTCGGTAAAAGCCGAAATAAAAACAGATCAAAATATTTTAAATACCCTTATAATTTAAAAGTAATAAACTTAAAGCAATATTCTACTTCAATTATGAAAGATTCTTACCTTTTATCTAACCTTTGCTGACAATAACTGCGTGATGTCAACTCAACGGAATCTAGAACCCATTAACTGCAGATAGGTGAATCTTTGCAACGTTGTACAATTCTTTTTCACGTATACTCACGGGCAGTGAAAACAAACATGCATGAACAGGAGACCTAGGTATGATATCGCCGGAAGTGAAAGGTCGTTAAGAAAATTCGTTTTTTAACAATCTCCATGTTACTTGAAGAAGACAAAGGTAAAATTCCAACGTGAGTGTTTCAAGGGGAGGTTTGAGTTAGGAATTATTCTTCCAAAAATTATCGAACGTGATAGGACGGCCCAACGTAAAATCCCCATAGAAGGACTGCGTGAGGGTTCCGGAACTCGCTGCGTGACCTTTTACTTCCAGGCTCTAGTACCAGACCAGTAAAATAGCTCTCGACGAATTTCACCGGCAACGGTGACGTCATAAATATGGACCAATCAGAACAAAGCGGGATATCCATGGTTTTGGAACTTTTGCTGCCGACACGACGGCAATATATCCGGTGCCCTCAACAAATCCTGCTTTTGCTTGGTGGCATCATGAGTTGTCAACTGAAACTTCCACAATGAAAAACCTGATTAGAGGTGTCCTCATGTCACAACGCTCCACAACCATTATTGCAATGAGAAATGACAGAACATACCCTCCCATCCGTCAATGGACTTCAAGACAGTTCAAGCTCATGACACTAATGGCTGCTGGTCCATGCTAATAACGCTAGCAACAAACTCCATCGACCTTTGAGGTAAATCTGTCCACTTGTCTTTTACTTTCGTACATCCCTGTATTTATGCATCCAGTTAGTTTCACACATCACAGAGCGAACAGGGAAGTGATCGCACTACATACAATACGTTCGCCATTGTATACATAATATATTGAATGCATACATGTACATGACAACTCAGCCAAGCTCGTGTGTGTGAGGTTTGCACAATTAATAATGTGAATGGGTGCAAAGGTTTCAGCCTCAAGTGTTTGTGAGTTGTTGGTGGGTAAAAGTCAAGAGTCACCATAAAACAACCCAAACTTTGGACTTGCCCACGTGATATTTTCCGATTCATAGGCTACCCAGGATTTATCTTCGCGATCTCATTTTTATAACGGCCAAGAATTTATACTAATATGTCGCTATAACGGAAACATCTTATAATAGAAAATTAATCTGAGCAACACGTGGTCACTTTCGTCCAATCAAAACCTCCAAGTCTAAACGTCTGACGACTTAACAGATTTGCGGGGGAAACACGGCCATAGATTAATTTAGGGGATCTACAAAAAAATTTCCGATTGTGCAGTCACGAATTCTGTGGCGCTTAATAACAGCACGGTGTCATTGTATAACCCGTGTGTCTTTTCCCTCCAATTGAGAAAACGACGCCAACAGATACGCTCAGTTTAATCAGACCCAGCCGTGTGCAACCATCAGTAGCACGTGACTCTGACTACTGCGAGAACAATCACCCTGAAATAATGTACCCTAGTCACGCAAAATACAAACGTGACAAACACATTTTTCTCCGTTGACGAATCTTGGCCCCACGTGGCTGTAAAAACAATGCATTTTCCGCATTATCGCGAGGCTATTACAGGACACGAATAGGGTCACTACGAGCATGAAAATAGTTTATTGCCCACGCCAGTTAAAAACCGAGTTGACTTAAATCATTCAGTAAACTGTCCTTCGCCTGTGAAACCAAAACAGGGTTCGTTTGCACCGAGCAAATGAATAAGGTATATTTGTCTTACTCAATTCAAATGCAAGTAAACCTACTGCTTTATCATCATGAGCTCGCGAGGTTGTATATTTTGGCACTTTTATAAAACAAATAAACGACAGTACGCACCTGTGAGGAATTTCCATGTATGGCGTTTTATACGTGCAGTGCCATCCACTTTGAGGAGAACTGAAGTTGCCTGCCATCACTGACGAACTCATACATGCAGTTGGAATGGTGGTGCACTACTTGACATGGTATAAGCGCACAGAATCGGTTTCTTTTTTGGGCTCACGATGAATAGGTAGTTTTGGCGTTCTACCTGTTGCATTCTGAACATGTACAATGCTAGCGCGGCGAGGTTACAGGGATCAAATTAGACAGGTGACGCACCTTACAGCGAGCGCAGGGAAGCGTTAAGAACAGCTTGTATATACTTTTCGGCCAGCCAATCGCCTGCTGACTCGTACGTATACGCGGCAACGGCGCGGTACAATAATAGCTCTCTTTCAATCGTTGGCATTAAGAATTACATCTCCATCGTGATCACGACTGAAATGTTCAATGTTGCTGCAAATCTTTCAGGAAATCAGTTGTTTGATATGAAAGTCGAATACGTCAGAGGGAATATTTAGCTTGTCGAGTGACGATCTCCCAAAGTGGTGCATTACCAAAATATTTACTGTAATTAATATGCAGGCTGTCATAAGCATTACTCAGCGATGTTCAATACTTTATAAGCTTTATGCACGCCCTGACATTCAGACAATTTGTTGGCATTAAAAGTGTCGTCGTAATTTTGTGGTGATGAGGCACCTTTGTTAAATTTCCCAAAACAGAAGGTAAAAATCTGGCTTAAAAAAATTGACATGGACTCAGTTTAGGGGCTCAAAAAATTCCCCATTTAAAATCTTTTCCAATAAACCTATAAACAGCTGGTTGAGATTTATTTATTTGTTGCTGGTGTTCATTCTAAAACAACGTGGGTTGTTCCGCTTATCTTTATCTGGGGTGTTTTACAATTTTTGGCAGTAACTACACAATGTTTGAGAATAAGTATTTTTTATATTAAAATGGGTTATACACTGACGGGTGTATTTACACTCTATATTCGGTATGGTTCGAATTTAGGGGAAAAAAATCACTAACTGGCACGAGTGGGAATCGAACCCAGGACTTCCAGCATGCCTGTATAGTCAAGACACCTGAACCACTCATCCACCGAGTTTCGCTGGCCTGGATGGCTAACTCCAGCCAATGACAACACCAAGTCATTCGGATCACACCAAGAATGCAGTGTGACTGTACACGCGGTGTATATGGGCAAAATCTGGTATATAGGCCCTCAGCCTACCTGACATCTTCGATGTAAAAGCAAATTTCAAAAGCAACAGTATCAAGAACGGTTTTATCGTTTTAATTACAGGCTGTACCCAAATATAACACACCGTGCTTCTTTTGTTAGATATTCATAGTGTAAACACCGTATGCTTAGTGCTTTTCCGAGAGCTTATAAAATTTTCACAAGCTTACTTGGGGTGAGACTTGAACCTACGACCTCCTGCCTACTAGTGCAGACGTCTTAAGCACTCAACCACCGAGCCTACCGGGGTTGGCTGGCCGGCCCGAGTCAGAAGTTGCTGTTGAAGTGTAAGTTGTTTGTTTGAATGGCACTTTCAGCTCCTCAGGCAATTGGCGCCCTTAACTGTACGTTTATTTATAACCTTTTCTTAATCAGCATCACATTACGGGGTTAGGAAAAAGGTCCAGTTTTAGAGGCAGGAGGCAATCGGGTTAACCTGCGAGAGCGATTATGGACTGGAAACCAAAATTTAATGCACTGAAAGCCTGAGACAAGCCAAGCCTTTGGTGCGAAGCGAGGTATAAGAACAGCAACGCTAACCCGCCCCCTTCCAGAAACACTGAGCATTCGGTGTTTATACGCCGATGTACAGGCAAAATCTGTAATTAAAATTAACATCTACCTGACGCAAAGTACTTCTTGAAATAATGTATTGTTGTTATTATTATAGACACTTCCAGACTTTGGTTTGCGGTGTCGACAGCTTCGGCCAAATGTAATAAGCAATTACTGAACATTAAGTTGATAAAGAATGTGACTTTTTCACTTTTCCACAACAACTACAAATCTGTGTATTATAAAGAATGCGCCAAGAGACATTCCTATATGGAAAAGCACTCTCAGTGGAACAGCGAACATGAATATAAATTTAGGGGAGGACCAGATTAATTTCCCAGATTTTTTCACATTTTTTTCGAGGAAAATTTTACTTTACGAGCCCTTTTTTTCTTCCATACACAGTTGTAGTTTTTTTTTTCTTCCATACACAGTTGTAGTTTTTATAGAGTTGTTCATGTAACCATTCAAACATGATGTCATCTAAACAACGACTTTCTCTGATAAACAGATCAAAACAAATTTGATGGGCTCTATGACTTTTTTTTATAACGCCAAACTGGTCACGGGAATAAATCATCGGTGATGGGGAGGATACATCTATTTCATTTTGAATTAAATTGGTCACTTTAAACTCTATCGGATATTTTAGTGGTGCGCGTGAGAAACTGGAAGTGGAACGACCATACGGGACTCGCAAATGTATATGCAGATGCAGAAAATGCAGATTGTTTGTGAATTTTATCAGTCGAAAGTGCACCATGAACAGCGAACAAACTAAACTAAACTTCTAGATGCTCTGCAGAAAGTTAAGACACATAAGCGCACATGTACATTATGAAATCCACCTACATCGCGAACAGCGACCCCTACGGCAATTTCAGGATATTGGTCAGCCTGCCCCCATTCGGATCGTTGGCATATATTCTGCTAGAGATGATTATAATATTTCGTATTACGTACACATTATTTTCATTAGAAAAGTACGAATGAACAAATTACTATACTCACTACAAGCCGAGACACGTTGCCATGTTGTCCAGCGTCTGTTAACGAAGCACGTTCAAGGCCGAGATAGACAATTAATTGGGTCTGTCTTTATCTTGGACGAACCATATACTTCTTCCCTCGACAGTTACATCAACATTTGCCCTAGTAAATAAATGCACACTTCTGATTAGTTTTTCTCCATGTCACAGGCGTCACCAGGTCGGCAAAGGGAGCACTTCCTTAGGAAAAACTAACAGATAAATAAATAAAAGGGGAGAGGAATGGAAAGGAAAAGATAAGGAAAGAAAAAAGGAAAGGTGGTGAAAATCATCGATTACTTGAAAATACCTTCCAGTTGACCCCTTCCATCTTTAACGGTTGGTCAGTTTGCTGCTGATTCCCTGCCCCCATCCAAAAAAAAGCCCTGGAGACCCCTATGCCAATAGTCGGTTGAGCAAAAGTCAATTTTAACCTCTGATATGTGCAATATTTTTGTCCATTGCGTCTTGAACATGATCTGTCGCTCATAAGTAGCGTAGCAAATTTCAAATTCAAAATATGTATAACCTCCCCGTGATAACTTGAAGGAAACTATGCCCACAACTCATACAACAGTAGGCCTAGTCATGGGCGTCGCCAGAATATTTTCCGAGGTGGGGGAAACCATTTTCCCAATGGGTGGAGAATTTATGAGAATTGATAATTTATGATAAACCCATTAAAGGGTGGGGGCGACACTTTTAAAGCAAATCCGTGATTTTCGTTTCCTCTCTTATTTCTATTTACTTCAATTTTTTCCAACTTTTTAAAATGTTCCCCTTTTTTTCTTGCCCTCCCCTCTCGACGCCATGAGTAGGCTGTAAAAGCCGTTAACAATATATTGCAGATTTTCACTTAGTTCACCTGATGGGAAGTAGGTCTTGCATTAGGCACATGCATAAGGACAAAATAGCGCAACAGATTGTTAATAATACGCACGTAATCAGTCCATAGTTCAAGACCGACTGTTTCTTACGAATCACGATTCTGAACCGTAACTGTCAACCCACTTCACTGGCGTTTCAGAGTGTACGTCTGGGCTCCAAGGTTCTCAGTGGCACCATTACAATTTGAATGGCTCAGGCTAGTAGCTGGTTGGAACAGTCACTGGATTGCAACTTCTCGGCCTGCACTGTATTTCGGTGATCAATTCAAGTAGCTTTAACCTCGTGTGTCGACTTGATCTTGAACGTGATGACTTAACTCTAGCTCTCAAACCTACATTTTTCCCTTTCAAAAGCTTTCTCTCAGTGTGTTTATTGAGCAAAAAAACCCTTGGTGTGAAGTACAAAGGCATGGACCTAATACTTACGTGTAAAATATTCACAGAATGGTAAGTTGAATCCATATCGTCGCACATTATGTAAGTGCCACCGAAAATGGAAGTATTTGTGTATGATCCCTCGGTGGTTGCACTGGATGATGTCACAAGTAAGGGGATATCCCCAGGGTAAGAGGTGCTATGGAACGCCAAGGTTCTTTCATGTCGAATGTGAAAATAAATTGATCTCCAATTCTTGGGTCACAGTGGCAGAAGTGATTTGCTTGTCTCGTTATTATCCACCGTGCCGAGCAGCCGAACAAAATTGATGTTTCATGCTGTATTTGCGTGATAAGGAATAAACGTGAAAAAATGTGGAGTTCATTTTTGGGCAACAAATAATTTGGGACCATCGTGTGTTCATAGGCTATACCTATGATGTATTTTGTCAGACATGGAAATCCCCGAGCGTTTATGACATGTATTGCGAAACCCATCTGGGGGACAAATAAAACTCAAATTATTTTGTTGAAACGTAATTTTGTCATTTATGTCAGAGGTCAATCTTTTTAAAGGAAATAAATCCGACGGCATGCCAGGTGGACAATCGTGTTTGTGCATTTCATTAAATTAGTTTCCTGAAAAGTATGTAATTCCAGGAAAAACAAGTGCTTTGGACGCCTGCGTATTGTAACCGTTGTAAGTGCACTTTTTTGTTCGATTTAATTGAAATCCCCATTTTTCAATTCGCCATTTTAACATCATGGGTTCCTCAGTGGTTTTAATGCCAATAAAATAAAATAATTCCCATGAGAAACTTATGTGTTACAATTTCAGCACCAACATTAGCCAGAATTTTGCCATCTTTATAGGCTTCTACATGTATATGGTTCATTGTTGTGTCGATGCATAACAGTTGGTTAGCGAGGAAAAGTTTCTCCCAAAAGTTTCATTGACCACAATTTGGGTTTGAACAGAAAAGCCCTGAAGGTTGCGCTACACCAAATACGCGCCCATAGAAAATAGTGCAAAATCGGACCGAAATAGCGCCGCCTGTTGACTCTCGTGAAGAGGTTGGCCTGCGTTTTTTTCACTGGAAATTCAAGGTTATGACCAGAAGATCATTTTTTGCATGAAAAAAATTTATTCGCCCCTGAACGAAGATACCCCCAAAATAGCAGTAAAACTGAACGCTCATTTTTGAATGTAGCCGCCCGCCTCTATTCAAAATAGGTCCGCAATTTTGGGCTTTTTGTGAAAGAAATACCCCGAACTTGAAACAATCAGTCCTAAATTCGGGATTGATAGAAACATTTATATAATGCCTCCTGATTATGGCCTGTCTTATTGTAAAAAAATCCCGTGGGATCACAAAATATTAATGAGCTCGCGCGCAGAGATACAACGATTTGGTGGAATGCACCCTGAAGTTAAAAAGGTCTTTTTAAAATGACATCATCGCCATCAACAGCGCTCTCATTTGTCAAGATATTTGCATGAAAACTGCAAAAAGTGAAGTTCAGCAAATACGCACCCGCCAAACCAACAAGAAGGAAAGTTACACTGTCATCAATTTGTGGGAACTAAGCAGAACTGTTTCATAAGTGATATTTGTTATTCATTGCCTATTACAAATAAGTAGAAGGGGAAAAGCTTATTGACCGTCTTTAGTCGACTGGAATAAAAAGCACTGTCGGCCTTTTCGACGATTGTACACTATAAATAGTATAAATACTTCATTACTATAATTTCACGACCAGCAATTTTCAAATTTTAAGTCCCCAGCTGCACAGATTTATTCACCAGACATGTCTACTATTTATGGAAGGGTATTGCTGCCAACGCGAAAAGAAATATTTTATCTCGTTTAAACGACTTAAATTATTTCGTTTAAACGACACACAAGTCGTATAAACGAGATAGCTATGTAGTTCAAACGAAATAACTATGTCATTTAAACGAGATAATAAGTCATTTAAACGAGATAATGAGTAGTTTAAACGTTGGCAGCAATACACCTCCGTAAAAATATTATTTTGATGTTGAACTGTGGAAAATGCAAGATGAGTCTTGTTGACTTCTTCTTAGTCGTACGTGTGGAATGTATGGCTGGCGAATTTGAGAAGTCATTACTGGTCGCCAGAGGGCGCAATCTGTAAAGCAAGCAACTTTACGCGCTAGAGGCATGAATGTTGAAGCGGTGCTGTCGTAATTTCATATTCGTGTGGGGGGCCCACATCATGTACCACATGTAGAGAGCTAGGCCTGAGCTTCAGCATTCTCTCTGTGGAGGAGGTGCGTGGCTTGTTTTTGGTCGTATTTTACCCCGTAACTTTATTCTAAAGTCAGAATCTCACCCTCAACTGCTCTAGTCCACTTTGATCCAGACTACGCTCCATCCACTAAGCATTATACTACATACATGTACTTAAGCCTACTACTAGTACTAGTCATGCTAGCTTTAGGCCTATAGCATGTACTATAGCCTAGGGCCTAGTCTAATACTGTAATAAGCATGATAAGGCCTAGGCCTACTTCAGTATTTGTACTGCAGGAGTGATGTTGCTTTGTCAGTAGTATAAAGCCATCATGGGAAGGCAAACATTGCCCCTTTTCCCTTCCCACAATGCCTTTCCGCAGTTGTGCAAAATCAGTCATGCGGTTTTAGTGATAAGGCTTAGGTCCTTTCAGGTCGGGGACCAAATCACAATCTAGCGACGACACCAGACTACTATACATATGCAGCTCGTTTGAGCAACGATGACGTAATTTTTGAACTATTTTTAGATCTCAGTTTGCAGATGACATCGATCTCTTTATGGGCCCAAAACTTCAAAACCAATTCTTCTGATTGATCAAATTTACAGGAAACATGCTTCCCAAGATCTAAATAAAGCTTTCCTTTCATTTGACATCTTTAAAAGCGGATCAAGGAGATTTTTTGGTCGAGTCTTGCACTGGAAGTGTCGAATTCGGTAGGTAGGCAAGTTCAACTCTGCCGATGAAAATGTTTACCCGAAAAAAATGAAGCTTTGCCGAAGTTTACTTTATGCATGAAAATGTTGCAATTAAAGATCTCCATCGATTCACCGTGGCACATTTTATGTTTACTGTGGCAATTTTCCAAAATAGCGATCGGAAACAATTTTGCCACAGACTCCAACGGTAATGGCAATGGCAGCCATGTTGGCTGCCGGCATTTCAAATCTCGTTATTTTCCCAAAATCACATGGGAAAACTACATCATTATTACTTGACCTGATAAAAATGACATCATTGCCGCTTGAACTAGCGACATGAGCAGAAATTAGGGACGTCGCTAGATTGTGGTTTGGTCCCCGACCTGCTTATAGATCCATTGTTGGTTGCTTCTTGGCTTTTTTTTTCTTGCTGCTTCACCATGTTCACATTATTTGGCCAGCTAGACACTGCTAGACCCGTAATGGAAACAGCTGGGCCCTATGTAAATACTACTATGGAGTGTATGTAGGGCCCTGTTTACGGGTCTAGTGGCCAGCAAGCTGTAACTTATTTTCACCCACGGAAATGTGGCCACAAAAGAAGAACTGGCACGACATTGAAAGAATTCCATGTACGCACGCCTTTTATGAGACTGGTCTCAGAGAGTGTTTTCTCAGTAAACAACTTGGTACCTGTATTTTCATTTTTTAACTTTTCTGGACATGTTTTTGCTTACTGATGTAGGCAAGGTCACTGTGGGGAATAATTATTGTCATCCGTAGATGGAACTCCTCACATAGACCTGTTAGTATGCCCCAACTTCATGTACATGTAGGAGGCACATGCATCAGCAAGAAAACTAATGCCAATGACTGTCGGAAATGTTATGAACAGAACACAGTTATGACACTTGTATGTACGTGGGTTTTGTGCAACGTACGTGTACATGTACATTGTACATGTAGTATTGGTGCTTGTTTACTTGGGTCATTGAACATGCTGAAACAGCCATCCTAGTCATCACCACTCACCATGGACCAAGTCATCAAAATTCTCTTTACAAAAAGGTCATGATTGTTACATATATTTGGTTCCACGGTCCTTCTTTCTGCCAGTTATTTCACAAGCTGCATCAGGTACACATGGTTTATTTAAATTTCTGAGACTAGAAGACTACTGACAAACAGGCTTGTAGAACATACAGTAATCTCTGGCAAAGTCAGCACTCTCGGGACTCAAGAAATTATGACAACTTACGCGAATGCCGACTTGTGTTGTAAGTCATCATTTTGCTGATTTACACGTACACATGTATTGCCTATGTACATTATGATTCCTTGGACTAATTCAATGGCTTTGATTTACCCTGGTTTATTTCTACCTCCGTGGTCGATCCCAGCAAATTCATTCTCAATTATTATCCTCACGGGCTGCAAATTCGATAATTGATCATGTGCCCCTAAAGACGAAGCAAGGACGGCCAGCCACTTACATATCACATCACGACTTGACAGTGCAGTACGTACATGTACATGTACGTGATACAGTTATGGTACAGAAAACATACAATCATCCGCACACGCATTGGTTAAGTTCGCTCAATATGGCGACCACCAAAAATGGACAGAGTGCATGCATGTTGCACTAGAGGGGTTACTGGTATTGATGTACTCATGCTGGCCGATTATCAACCATGGCCTGTGCTGCTAATAAACAGACATCAGTCAAGCAGTGTGGGACTTGTCACTTGATACTTCTTGGCAACTGAGGCGAAGGAGACTGGTACCAAAGCACAATTATGTTTTAATGCCGACTTACACGAAGGAATTTGTATGGTTTTGTGGAAAAGGGACCGAGAAAAAAATGCCGACTTATACGACATGACGACTTATAAATGTTGACTTAGAAATGAAATTTACAATGGAAATGCATTACAGACGATCGGGACTTTTGTCAAAAGGCCAACTTAAACAATATGATGAGTTATGCGATGCCGACTTAGTTGGAGTTTACTGTACATGTTACCGTTCACTACAGACTTATGGTAGAGTGCAGAAAACCAAGCAAAACTTTACTCACTCTTGTGCTAACAAAAGGACCAGGTCCTCAGTATTTTGCCAGCTAAGTGTTGAGGCCTCATTTCAAATTTAAACACCAAGACTCAACTCCCCATCCATCATCTCTCACCCTGAAAACTGAACAAAGTTGAAACTTTGAAAGACTAGAAAAGATATTCATGTGACGAAATAAAAATGTTTTATTTCATTTATTTACAGCAGTCAATTCTGATGGCAACCTCCATTGGTTGTAATGGGAGAGGCCCAATCAGCCGTCTAGCCAATCAGCTCGCAGCATGTCAACAGGCTGCCCGATTGACTGCTTTGCCATCCAATCAGGCTCTTGCCCGTTGCTATTCCACAAAAGACAGGCCCACTGGCAAACCGGATTTGTCAGAGAAGCAACTGGTATATCTTTCTGTTTATTATCTTGTTCTGTGTTTTAGAGTTATGAAACAACTGCTGTGGAATATTTTCAATTCCTTCAGTTGGCCAACAGGAGAAACATGTAGGCCTTTGCTCATGAATATGCATGAGGTTTAAATACAGTGTTTACTAGTCATGAATTGGACTTTGAAAATCATGTTGTGAAATGGTTTCTTCAGCTGTTAAATGCAACAGAGTCTTTAAACTGTGGTTTTGGTTGTTTTTTATTTAAAACTTTACAGCAATTTGTTCATTTTTTTTTGTGCCGATCTCCTTCACAGTCATATACATGTTTGTCTAACTGTGTTCCTTAATTTCTCTCTTTTTTCACCTCGTTTGGTTTGGTATTCAGACCAAGCGATTTGTTGACTGGCAGAAAATCCATGTGGTTGCGGGTAACGGCGGCAATGGTAGCATCTCCCTGAGACGAGAGGCGCACAAAGAGTTTGGCGGGCCAGACGGAGGAGATGGCGGGCATGGGGGCCATGTCATCCTTGAAGGTAGGTGTTTGCATCTATAGTAGGATGAGGATATCATAGCAAGCACTCACGGAATGGAAGTCAGTATATTAGTCTGAAAAACTAAAGGGTCTGTGAAGTACAACTGTTCACATTTCTTTGTTTCTCAAGTACATCTATCTTTATTCCCAGTTTTTGTTTTGCCATTTTGAAGGGTGGTTTGGTGCCTTTCGAGTTTTTAAATACTAATATGTTTTCACATTCATGAGCAAACCTCCATTTCATGTTGATCTGGGAAAATGCTGGAATTTTTAATAATTTGAAGAGTAAAGTTCTGTGTCTCATGTGCGTCATACTTAGCTCAGATGAAGGCTAAAAGAAAGTGAAAACTGGACTCCAAATTTATAGAATGACCTAACTTAATTGCTACTTCTTATTTTAGCTGATCAGTGCATAAAATCACTGGAGCCCGTGAACCGTCATTACAGAGCAGAACACGGGGAACCAGGCAGAAAGAACAATTCGACAGGAAGAAATGGTGGCCATACCATAATCAGAGTGAGTTGTCATTGTATTACTCATTAATGTCCTGTTCTCGTGAGCCAAATACCATAAGGAAAAACAGAGTAGTAGTGGGCAGAAAAACAATCTTCCAAATTGAAGCACTAACAGCAACGTGTGGTCATTAAAACTTACTTTTCCGTGTATTCACTGTATGTAAACATATACAAGTTTATGCAACCAGGGGCCAATAAGCTTGTCGCAAATTAAGTTTGACCCAAATCTGGTACACTGAGTTCCTTAAATTCAGGTGAACATAACAACTTGAATTCTCCTTACTAAAACCACTGTTGCTATACCTCGTGATTCGGGGCAAGCTTTTGCTTAGTTACATAAAAAACGCCTTGCAACAGTACACTGTTCTCAATGGATAAGAAGGGCACAAAGGAACCAGTCCATTCCAGAGATGGTGGTCGCTATGCGAAAGCTTGCCCGGAATCATGAGGTATAGCAACAGTGTCTTTAATCTGAGGAATTCAAATCTTTATGTTTACGTGCAGTCAGATAACTCTGTGCACCAGATTTTATTCAAATTTAACTCGCAAAAGGCTTATTTCATAGAGCTGCTTAAGCACAGAATTTGCTTAAGCATAACAAAACCTTGCGTAATAAACAAAGGTTACCAGCTCAAACTCTATGCGATTGTCATGCTAACCAAAAGACAGGTGAATACCATTCCAAAACAATATATATTACAAGAAGATTTGGCTGGTAATGTGATTTGTCAAGCAAGGTTTTTTCGCGCTTGAACAAATTTTTCGCTTAAGTAGCGCTGTGAAATTGGCCTCAGATTTCACAAACCGAGTTGTAAGGCCACGTTTTGATAATTTTGTTTTAGTTTGCATTAGAAAGAATAAAGGGAGGTCTTTGTCATGATATGTGACCTAATTTAGCATCCTGGTGGAAATGGACAGTCTGTGAATTCAAACTATTGGGTTCTTGTTGATGTTTCTTGTGCAGGATTTTTCTAAGGCATTTAACTCAATAGCGGCTCCACCAATATTTGACTATTTTGTTGGGTTTGTTCACAGATTGAAAGGTTTTCGAGAAGAGGAACATTTGTTTGACACTTAGCAGGTCCATTTTGGCTTTGTGTTGTCAGTAAAACTATAGGCAAACAGAAATGGTAATCAGTAACACTTTTGGCATTTTTTTGGCACAAATCGGCTTATTTGCAAACCTTGGTACGTGTGCTAGAATGCACAGTGTACTTTACAATTCGAACATTTATTTACAGCGATCCACCTTAACTTTCTCCTTGGCAATATTCAGATAAATCTTCCCTTAATCCTTACGCAGCCTTGCTCGGTGGTGCTGCCCTCAATGTAATTTTCTGTCAGTAATTCACATTCAGTGGTTGGATTGGGTTACAGGTTCCAATAGGAACCATCATCAAAGAAGGCAAAACGATGATTGCAGATCTAGACTCGGAGGGAGACCAGGTACGATGAGAACAGTCAAACTGTTGTGTTGTTCATAGAGATCATTTGAATGGGAAGCCAAAGAACATATTTATTGAACATTTAAAGTTGCAGGAAGGAAACTTATTATTTTCAAGACCTGATATTTTTAATTCAGATCTTCAAAAGCAAGTTTTGCTAAGTTGATAGAAATACTCCCCCCAAAAGTTCCTTCTTTAAGTGCCTTCCCAATATGGCAGACTGGCTGTTATAATATTTGAATATTATGATATCATTTTAAAACAATTTTTGCAATAGATTCTCTGAAAGGTTTATCATATCAAACAGGCTGTACAACTGGGCCAAATAACTTATGTAAGGGTACTGCATACATGTACATGTAGATGTGTGCATTTGCATTGTTTAAATCTTACACCCGTGATGCAGACTATGCAACATTTTACAAAATTTGCCTGTGGTTGGAAGCCTCACAGAGAAATCACATCTTTTGTGTATTTCCCAAATTCCCCTGCATTGTAGTTTATCCTTGCCCGTGGAGGACAAGGTGGGAGGGGGAACCGATCCTTTGCCACACCATTCAATAGGACTCCCCGAATCGCTGAACGAGGCACGCTAGGCCAGGAGTTACTTGTTACACTGGAGCTCCGGATGATGGCGCATGCTGGACTGGTGGGTTTTTCCCTTCAGCGATGTAATTTAATGAACCTTGTATGCTCGGACAGTTTTCTTCCTTTGCCTGTGGTACAGTCTCACTCTGTGTAAATAGACTGAAGTCAAGTTTGTTGCACAAATTTCTGCTCCAGATTGGGTTTCCAAACGCCGGCAAGTCGACTCTTTTGCGGGCTCTGTCCCGAGCCAGGCCAGCAGTGGCTGCCTACCCCTTCACAACCCTTAACCCTCATGTAGGGATGGTGCAGTACAGTGATCTGGAACAAGTCGCAGGTAAAAAAAGAATTGAGAAATGACCGGCTGAGTTCTTGTTTAAGAACATACTTGATTTTAAGGTCAGTTTGCGCTTGGCCCAAAGTGAACACAAATGTGAAATTGTGACATCAGATCAAATATTTGGGTTCAAATTTGATCAAGTTTTGCTTCACTAATGCATTTGCTTGAAGTATGAACTGGCTATAAAAGGTTAAAATAACACTACTCAAGTTTGTTTCTCATGCTCTCGTTTTCAAACAAATTTAGTAAGAGGTGTGTCAAGAGACACACTTTTGGACGTTCAGTGAATTTTGTGATGTATTTTACATACATTCTTAATCTAAGGAATGCAACCATTTTGGCAAATAGTAGATATTTTATTGGTCAAAGAGGAATTGAATGCGTACATACAACCGGCATTCTAATTTATGGTTTTAACCCTAACCCCCTAGGCCTTTTTACTGGGAACCATCCTGAATCCTCCTAAATCCTCCAAAATTTCTTGAAAATGTCATTTGGAGGTGTGCCTAACTGCCCAAATCCTTCAAAATCCTCCGGCAATTCCTGTCATTATGTTGAGGCAGTGTAAATGGCACTCTTGAGCTGTGCAGTTGATTCAAAAGAAACATCAGGCTGAATTTGTGCTTGACTAAGCACAAACAACACAAGGTCTAATCCACGACCTTCATGTATGGCATCTTTTGAAATCAGCCATGCACACTCGCCATACACCCTGAATCCTCTAAATTCCTCCACGTTGAGAAGGATTTTGGAAGATTTGGAAGCACTGTGTGGGGGGTATAGGTAGTAAAAATGCACAAGTTATTCTAAGAGTTCGTGAGAAAACAAATTTGTAATGAAACGGTTTACAAATGGCCCATTTGACCTATCTAACTGAATCCCCTGAGCTTATCATGTGTACTCTAATCCACCTCAGTTGCTGATTTGCCCGGGCTGATCCGTGGAGCTCATCTCAACCGAGGCCTGGGACACTCCTTCCTTAGACACATCGAGCGCTGTCGCTGCCTGCTGTACGTCCTGGACCTCTCAGCCAAGGAGCCTTGGACCCAGCTCTGGGACCTGCAGTACGAGCTGGAGCAGTACCGGGAGGGTTTGTCACAGAGACCCCACGCTGTGGTGGCCAACAAGATTGACCTGCCTGAGGCGGCAGAAAACCTGAGGCTGCTTTGCGAGAATGTGGAGCTGCCCGTCATCGACATCTCGGCGCACTACCTGACCAACATCGACAAGCTGAAGGGGCATCTGAGGGAACTGTACGACAAGGACATGAAGGGTAAACTGATGCCAAAGGTGGTCAGAGAAGAGAACAAACGAATTTTATGATAGAGAAGACAAGGCTGATGCAAGGTTATCAAAGGATTCTATATCCCCACTCTATCTCTATCTACTTTTTCACTTACTCATGTCCCAACAGAAGAAAAGGAAAAACCATGTCTAATGGCAAACTTAAGCTTTTTCTGTAACCACTTGCCTCCGGAGATCCTGGTACCAGGTACCTTGAGTTTGTACACATAGCTGGGGTAACCGAAATCGGACAAAGGAGCTGGGCCTTGTAACCAAAAAACGTACTTGGAATAAAGGACTGAGCTGCTCGGAATTGCCAACATTTTTCAGCTGGTATTAGTGGAGGTAATACATCATTGTTTTGAAACAGTATACCACTGTTTGCGGCATTCAGCGCCCGCGGATTATCAGCGGGGTAAAAGTGCACCAGCACACCAGGGATGACTGATACAGTATCGCTGCATGCTTATCTGGCCACATTTGTAAAGACACCACTGCTGTTCAGCAACGCACTGGGCCAATTTTGGGAACAAAGGAAATGATGTGACACCTCACAATTCTAGGCCCTCTTTACTCGGTGGCTGGCCTGACTGCAATACTGGGGCGTCAATGGAGGTTGCCTGTCAGATTAGAGTAGCCACCAGACAGTCATTCTTGTGGGTGTAAACGTCCAGTAAATGAAGTTATGAATTGTTGAAGAATTTTGAAAATGGAAAATCTTGAAAATTGCCCAGGAACTCATCCAGCATATGCAAATTCCACCTGGGAAGTGGTTAATATGTACACAACTTTTAATAATAAATCAAGGAGATGTCTGAATACTCACAATTTCAGTTCCAAAAATGCGGTAAGTGAATCTTTGTTTCACTCTTGTAAAACTAGAAGTTGCCAAGATTGATATAAACCCATCAGTAGTAAAATTGCATCATAACTTGTCAATTGATTTTTGTCTCTGTGTACACAATTACTTTACAAATGCCAATGAAATGACTTATTACTCTTTTGCTTCTTATAAAGAACCTAATTACAAATGATTATGTAAGGCAACATGACGAACTGTCCAGGATGTCGAAACACTTCCAATCATATCCATTTAGTTTCATTTTCTCCACAAGTTGATAACAAAATCATACATTTTCATGGTCATGACATAAAGGAAATTTGGCATTTGCTAAAGGCCCAACTCTGAGCATGGAGCTATCAAACACAAGGAGTACGAACGAAGTCCCCACACATCGTAATCTGATTAACTGCTCCGGTCGGCTCCATAGGCAAGGCGTGGTTACCGGCCCCAGTGTTGAAGACCCAAGACATTCTTTGTACACAGTGATCGCCACCGCCAGGTAGCTGGTAACCTACATACTCGCCGTGTTTCGCTGCGGCATACTGGAGTAAATAAATGGTGGAAAAAATGCACAAAGAAGATGCGCAGTTCTCTTCAGTAGTCCTCAGGAGTCAGCGAGTGATCTCCGCAGATGCGCTCGAATATTCCAAATTAGCGGTGGTTATTTGGCAAAAGTTGGACATTTTTAAAGTCAGTTATGACTTTTTGCATTTCTGG